TACCACCAATGTTGGATCTAAGTGCTAGCCCCACCCTTTCATCCATTGGTAATGCTAGTTCCCTACTTTCACCTGTGTTGGGTGATTAAAGCCATTCTCTCCCACCAGTGTTGGGTCTCAGTACTAGCACTCTCTGACCACTAATAGGTCTTAGAACTAACCCTATCCCCTCATCTCTGTTAGCTCTCTGTCCTTGCTCCTCCCTCTCTCCAGTGTTGGTTCTCAGTACTAGCTTCACCCTCTCACGAGTGTTGGGATCTAAGTTTTAACCCCATGCTCTCACCCATTTTGTGCCTCAGTGCTAGCCCCACACTATCTCCAGTGTTAAGTCTTAAGAACTACCTTCATCCCGTCACAATTGTTGAGTTTGACTGCAAGCCCTACCCCTCTGCAGTGTTGGGTCTCAGTGCTAATCCCACGCTATTTCCAGTGTTGGGTCTCAGTGGTAGTCCCATCCACCAGTGTTTGGTCTCAGAGCTAATAGCTGTGAGAGATGAGCAATTACATTATGGATGAGGAGGAGAGAGGTTTGATGATGATTGAAGTCATTCAGACAGGAAATGAAAGTGCGCTGTAGTTGAAGATGCAAGTTTACAGGGTATTGAGGGTAACCAGCTTCAACACAGGAGAGGACTTGTTCAATGTGTGAGAACGGAAAAGGTGGAGTTTAGCTATAACTTGGAATCAGCCTCTTGCAATCCTCTATACTTATAGTGGTAGAGGGAGGGGCAGGATCAGGGACATTGCACACAACTCTAAAGATAAAGAAAATACTTGACAATAGAGATTTTTGGCAGAAGAAACATGCAAACTTTCTTCTGCCAAAAAACTTCTTCCTCTTTCCCATAGCAATTTTCCTTTCTGTGTACACTGCATGACACATACACCACGCAGTGAACACTCTCTGCTCATTCTCGCCATCTGGAAGAATGCTGGAAATGAGCCAGATGCTGGGGCAGTGTAACACATGCACAGAAGTTACATCATCAGGGTACAGCCAATGGCCAAAGATGATCACTGCGAGACCCGTACCGGCCACAAAAATGGCAGCAGTAATGCAGACGGCAAGGGACACAGCAGTGACAGGTGTCTCCATCCATCAACACTGGAGTCTGGAGGAGATAGGTGTGTGCCATAATCTGAATGTTTGTTGTGCAGATTTTGGCAAAAGCTCAACCCACCAACAAGGTTTACTTCAACTTTAATGCTGAACTCTAGGAGTTAGATGCTCATTAGGTCTGGGGGGCAGGTGAAGGCTGTAACACTTAACTGAGTCTTCATTCCAGCTCTCTCCTCTTCTCCTTGATGCTCCTCTGCGCCATTACGTACAATGCAGGGCTATTAACCCTGCATTTACGTGGAGAGGGGAAGTGTCAGGAAGGTATGGCTGCCATCCATAGAACACGTACCGCACGGATCACTGCACGTGCTGTTGCGCAAGCGCATTCCACTACATCGGGCATGGCATGCACGTGTGCACGCCCGTTCCACCTGTTGGTGCCAGGCGGCCTATTTAAGGATGCTAGTAGCAACTGCCAGGTGCTGGAAGATCATCAGTTGTATCCTGTATTTGTTATTCCTGCTATTGAGATCTTGGATTTGACCCGGCTTGTCCTGAACCCTGCTTGTCTGCCACCTGCCTTCTGACCCCTGCCGGTTTGACTACTCTTCTGCGTTTAGATTTGGCTCTGATTGTCTGCATGATTCCGACCCAGCTTTCCTGTGACCACGTCTCTGCCTTATGCTTCTGCACCTCGTTGCCTGCCAGTTGCTGATCCGGTCCATCTGACTCCGATTCCGTCTTCTCTGCTGCCATCAGGCCTGCTGCTGACCATCTGGTTCCAGAGTATCCTGCATCCAGCTACTCGCATCACCTCACCAGCAGCAGCGGGTCTTCATCAGCCACAGGCACTCGTGCCTCTCTCTGTTCTGTGCATTCCCTGTGCCATCTCCAGGGGTGCTCTGACAAGAGCTGCAAGGGAAAGCCTCCCTCATCACTTCAGGTCATACCAGGTATGTGACAGGAGGCTTGCAACCATATTTATAGGATTATACTGTGTTATTGGATATGATAATTTACAGTTGGGATCTGTGTTTAATTGATTTTATGGGTAAGGGTCATGTTTTGCAGCTAATATATGTCTTTAACCAGGATTTGTATTCTTGGTGTTTTTGTATTCGTTCATTACTGGTATTTATATAGCGCCAACAATTGACATACAACTTTACATACTGTACATTCACATCAAGATACAATTCAAGAAGATGGTGGAGAGAATGAGCATATAACTGTAACTATTGCTATCCCGGTAGTATCAATGGTCACATTTATATGCTCATTCCCTCCAGTGTTCTTTTGAATTATAATATTGCATCCCATTACTAATTGTCTTTATTTCCTATGATCCTCAGCTCCATCTAGTGGACATAATGCAGCATTTTGCTCATGCCCTCTGTTCTGTATGAATATACTGTACCTATTCAAAAACATTGACATAAAATTACACTAAGAACATTCATTTTTGACTCTCAACAGCTGGTTAACTTGCATAGAACACATGTAGTTTGTGGTACACTGCCAGAAATGCTACATGCACCTTTTTGGTGTGTTCTGGTTGTGTTAATGCAATGCACATTACTATGTGTTATAACGTGCATAATGTGAATAGACCTTAAAAGAAGATAATTGGCTGTTATATTAGACAGTCAAAAATATGTGGTTAACTCTCCAAATTATTGAGTTTAGATGTTGCCAGTGAAGGGTACTGTTAACACTACAGCATACCAAGACATTGTAGATATCTGTACACTTCCAACCATGATGGTAACAGTTTGGTGAAGACCATTTTCTGTTCCAGATTGTGCCGCTGTGTAAAAAGGCAACTCCATAAAGACACGGTTTGTTGTTCAGGAACTCGAGTGACCTTCACAGAGCCCTGACCTCTACTGAACCCCAGTGAACACCTTTGGGTTGAACTGGAACATCAATTGTGAACCAGGTCTTCTCATCCAACATCAGTACCCAACCTCAACTAGACATGTGCGATTCGTTTCGTTACAAATCGAAATTCGTACGAATTTTCCTGAAATTCGTAGATTCGTAAGCATACGAAATCCGAATGGCAGTTTCCGAATTATATCCGAAATACGAAATTCTGTTAACGAATTTCGGATCCGAGTTTCTTTGAAACAGGAACTAATATTACCCCTGTAAATGAGGTTGAACAACATGACAAGATTTTTTTTAAAATCCGAAATACGGATCCGCTGCTGCTGAGGGTTGCATTACAATACACGCAGGAAATACGAAATTCCGTTGACGTATTTTCGTTCCGTTATGAACATTCGTTATATTGAAGTTAAAAAGCAAAGTACATTTATATTGGAGTTGATGGTAGTTTTTTTTTTAAGTCCGAAATACGAAATTCGGATACGGAATCCGTTAACGGAATTCGTATTTCGGATACAAAAACAACTACCACATCGACTCCAATATTAACAAAGGTATTTTTGCTTTTTAACTTCATCATAACGAATGTTCGTAAAGTTACGAAAATGTGCCGAAACTAACGAAAATCCGTATTTCGTACGAATCCGAATTGAGTTTCGGATACTAATTACGAAATACGAAATAATGGATATTACGAAACGGAACACATTTTTTGACGGCGCACAAGTCTAACCTCAACCCTACTGAACACCTTTGTGATGAATTATAAAGACAATTGTGACCCAGGTCTTTCTTATCAGTACCTGACATCACAAATGTTCTTTTGGCTGAAGGGACACAAATTCTTACAGACACTCCAAAATCTTGTGAAAAGCTGTCCCAGAAGAGTGGAAGCTGTTATAGCATTAGCCATGCTACTGGCCATTGCTTTGAAGGTTGTCCAACAAGCTCACATGTGTGGTGGTGAGGAGTTCAAACACTTTTGTCCATGGTGTGTATGTGTATCAACAATTGTTCTTCTTTCAGGACACATTTGAAAAAGAGATGAGCCGTCTTTTGAACAAATAGAGTCCATTTCCCTGGTGCCTTGAAGAGCATAATTCCAGGGGCAGTTGTTAATTTTGGTTTGTGCAGATAAAAGCAAATGTTAAAAGTGACTTGCAGAGAAAGGATACTAAAACAGAGAAGTGGGATTAAAAAGGAGAAGTCAGGAGGTTTTACAGAAAGCTCATTTAAACAGAGTGCTTCTCAGGATGTACAGTTCAGCCGGACACAGACAGTCTCCTAGGGACGGGATATGGGGTATCTCCTTGCGAAGGGGGTCCCCCCTCTTTCCTGCGTTTCGACATCCTCAGGTGAGTAAAAAAGGAGTAGGAGAAGTCGTGTTAGGTCGTCTGTAGGTTAGTGGTATCACGGAGCTCTCACGCTATGCAGCCTATTCCGCCATGTGCAGGACACGCCCCCCATGCTGAGGCTGTTAAGCCGAGCCGAAGGGAGGTGAAGTGGGCCGAATGCATCCGATGTACGGCTTAAAATAGCCATACACGGCTGCAGTGAATAGCCGAAGAGGCTTCGGCTCCCTTCACTTCGGCTCGGTTATTCATTCGGCTGACTTTGACAGCTTAGTGAAAAACTTAACTTAGTGAATGATGTAAATGTGCAACTATGTAAAGAGCTGCCAAAATTGTCGGCGCTTTATAAATACCAATAATAAATAATAACCCCCCTCTCCAACCACTCCTTCAGCATGTCTCCAGTCTCCAACCAAACCAGCATGACCCCAGTCTCTGACCATCTACTGTAGTATGCCCAGTGTCTAACTATTTTCTGTAGCATTACATACACTGAACCTTTGGGCCCTTAGGTAATGGTACACCATCTAATTGATCATCACTGCAGTTTGTGTTTATTGTAAGAAGTATGTCACAAAAAGACTGACAGCAGAATTCAGCTAGAAAGAAATGACTATACTTTATTTGTTAAAGATGAGAAGCTGTTGTATTCTGAAAGCAGAGAGACGAGAGAATGTTTGCTCTTGGATTCAGCGAGATTATGGGGAAGTTTTTGAGGTGCGGTACACTTTGCAGCCGTTGTCTCGGTAATCGTTCATGAAGTTGTTCATATAGGAGCATTTGTTAGGGTCCTGTGCGATCTTACAGGCTTGTGGACTGGCCAGTTCCTCCACCCAAGAATTGTTCTCTAGGAAGTATCTCATCCTGAATGAGACAAAGAGGGACAAGTGATGAGAAGAAAGGAGGAATTTGTTAGCACTGTCTATATTAGCTGCCCGCATGGTTCCTAGTGTATCGTGTTCAGATAAGTGCATGGTGCAGTTCCACAGCTTCTTATGCAACACCCTTCTCAGCTATCAAACCCTCAGTGATGCAGAAGGCACCATAGTTTTTGTGCTGGCACAGAGCAAAGCGAATACTTCATTGAGTACTTGTATGTACTGACCCTTTACGTCTTACTCCAGCCAATTTTTTTTCTTTTTAAATTTGATTTTGGATAGACTGGGGAAGAGTTAACAATTTTGCCCATTTCTTTAATTCCTCAAAAAAAAATGTATCCAAGAAGTGCTGAGACTTCAAGACTTGCTTTTTAATCAAATGAGGACATTATTTAATGAGATCGCTGGGCTCTGGTGAGTCTGTTCACACAAAGCAAGGCTCCACCTTGGTGGTTCCCAGAAAGTGACTTAAAACATAAAAATACAACAGCAGTGCCGGACCAAGTAATAAATGAGTCCCGGTCGCTTTAATGATTCATAATCTGAACACAAAAAACAGCCAACTGCCCCTACTAATGACTTTGATCATAGATAATGATTCCAAGCCCTGATGAAGGGGGATTTTATTGGCCCACAAAACATGTTGGTTATTTTATGTATTCAACTATTCACAATGAATTATTAAAGCGACTTGGACTCTTTGGCCATTTGGTTTGGCTCTCCTGTTTTCTGTTTGCGCTTTCAGTCACTTTTTTTATTCCTGTCTGTAGCTTCATTGGGGAGACCTTCCATTGCTTCCTGTTAATAGGGTGCCCATACACCAATTTAGGGTGAGGTTCTCACTGGAATAGGTAGGTACAGAAAAAAATTTAAACATTGTCATAAGTTCTAAACTTTCTTCACTCTACTAAAAATGTTTTTTTGTCTGTGCTCCTGGATATATTTCCCATCATAGACAGGTAAGGAAACGTATTACCAGTAGAAATACAGATTGCAATAAACATCTGATAGAAATTCCAACCCTCCTCTCAAAGCAGAATAACAAGATTGATTGTAGTTGGGGCGTTAAGCTCAATATCCAATTTAATGGTTGCCAACCTTTTGATACACTTCAAGTCTCCCTACCTAGGGTCATCCTTGCTCTGGGACTGAACATGCCAAACAAGGGACAGCATATACTCATTTTGTGAGGTCACATGTAATCACAGAATACAGAAGGCCCAATGTAAAGGATTGCTGTGCTATGTGCTGACACTATCAAAAGTAGAAAACTAAAAATGTAGAAATGGATTTTCCATTCCTTTATTAGATAGCAGACAGGTAACCATCACCCACTTTTTCTCTTCGTCTTCTGTCTGGCCGTCTTGCCCCATAATCAGATACTCCTTTGCACCCGATTGTAAACGCATCTTGCAGGCTGTGCGCTGGTAGAAGTAGCGGGTGTCTCCAGTTTCAATGTTCTCATCTGCATCTAGAAAATCAGAAGGAAAAAAGGTAAAGGCAATGCAGGGTGGTTTTGAACATATTCTTGTTATATAGTTTGGTAAGGGTGGATAAGACAAAGATTGAACAAAATATTTTTCTATTTAGTCAGATAAATATGAAATATTCGTTGTTAACGTGGATCTGAGCTGACAAAGACTTGATATGTTATAGGGAACATCTAGAAATATTTATTATGCCTACAGGTTATACTTGTGACTAGTGCATTGTTGTCTGCCTGAATTTTTGGAGAAGAGCTTGCATTAAGCGGGCCCTCTTTAATGTTTTGTGTCCCTTTTTGAGCCATAAGGTTGAGCTCTAGTCTCCTTTTCGCATGGTTAGCTATTTCAGCTTACAGATTTGCTAAAGAACTTACTAGCACAAGCTGAGCTATTATGTTTTAATCAAACAGAGCCCCAAAGCAAGTAGTGTCCAATGTCCTGTTTTGTTAAGTCCCCCTTAATTTTCTGGAAATCATTTGTTATCTATGAATTGCCAATGTGCAAAACAAGGAATGTGTGTGTATGTATATATATATATATATGTATATATATATTGGCAGTGCGTGGCAATGCCACTGTGTAATCTCCAATTCTGTGTCCAGCGCCTGCTGATGGGACAGGTGTGCGCGGCCTTTAAAATAAAGGTGTTGGGAAGTGTTCAGGGCTCCACCTGGGAGACAGGAAAACTCCACCCAGGAGTCAGAGTGGAGTCCAGTGCAGCAGCGTGCTGCGGGTTGAAAAAAAACAAGTGTGCAGGATAACACAAGACTGAGATTATCTGGAGGAACAGACAGAGGCCTGAGGTCTGAGGCTGGAGCAGCTGCAAATACAAAGCCAGGGGGATGGATGTGCATGTGCTGCCAAGAGATGCTAAAGAACCCCTGCCTGGCTAATTGCATTGTTTTTGTGAACTTTGATTCAATAAAAGTGGGCAAGGAAGCCCTTCAATGAAGAATTCAGCAAGTGGATGCGTCCTCAATGAGCTACTGTTTGGAGCTAATTCTCACAATATATATATATTGACATATACATATACACTGCATATGGCCAAAGCACACATAATCAACTTACTTCTCCTCAGAACTTCAATAATTTGCACTTTGTACACTATAAATGCATCTTCTGTCTTCATTTCCAACACCTTCACATGGTAGCCTGCATTGTGAAGAAAAAACACAGCATCCAATGAATAGGGGTCTTAAGGTGTATATCAGGGCCAAGGAAACAATATATAGCACATTTCTGCAATACATGTACATTTCCCCGTGTTTTATACCTTAAAACTGTGTAGAAAAATAGCTATTAATCTGCCTAAAATTCAGTGTGCTCCTAACTTCCTATTTAAGCTGACAACCCCTAGGGGAATAGAGACGGGATTGAGGTCTAGGCACCCCAATACTTATTAGGGAAAGCCTTGTCCCCTCAGTTGCTGGAATAAGCCACTTCTGGATTGGATTAAATCAGATGTAGATTAAACATCCATGTGCTTCTGGTTAACAGATGTTCAAAAAAAAAGTCCTTCTCTTTGCACTGCTTAGTCCCCAAGTTGATTTTTCAGGCGGGGGTATCATAAAGCACTAAGTAAACCAAAACACTAATTAGTTATCAGTGGACAGTCCCAGTTAATACACAAAGATGACCTGGCCTGACAATGAGCAAATGATCGGTACATCACCGCTACCAGCAAAATCAGGTTCAAAATTTCCCTCAGTATTCATAACTTTGGACCTGGGGGTGATACATTAATAACAAATACACATATAGATGCCTCAGGAAAATAAAATAGATGTTCTAAACAATCTGAAGGGGATTTATCAAAACTAGAGCAGACAAATCCAGGAGCAGCTTTGCATGGCATCCAATCAGCTTCTCTCTCATTGTCAGATGTTAACTAAGCAGAGAAGCTGATTGGTTGCCATGCACAGCTGCTCCTGATTTTGTCTGCTCTAGTTTTGATAAATTCCCCTCTCTGGGCTTATGACATTCCTGAGGCCTAATAACACACATTACCCCTTCTAAGGGAGGCATACATCACCGGTGTGTCAAGTCTAGTATCTTTACAAAGCTAATTCCAGAACACTATAATCTATTATTTATCAGGTGGTAACATGCGAGTATATTAAAATATGGTTACTTTGGTGAAACTGACATTCTAGGAGGGGCAAGTGAGATGTCAGAAAGCACTTCAACCCTCCTTTTGCAGCCCCCCTGATCATTTCTGATTGGGGGGTGGGCTGGCTCAGTCACACCTTCTAGAGGGCCCACAAAATGCTGAATCATGGGGTAGCAGTAGGCTCTTGTTGAACATCAAGAAGAGGCTCTCGTGTATCATCAAGAAAAGCTCTCGTTCACCATCATGAACAGAACCTTTGTATAGCTTTACTTCGAAAGAGCCAATCCCAGATCCATCTTCTGCTCCATTGACTGGACTCTGCTGGAACCCATAGGACCCAGGACTTTGCTAAATACTTTCATTCTTATTCCCTTGTGTTTTACTATTGTATTATTTGTCCCTCTTTTATGTAACATCTTTTTCTGTATAATTTTCAGCACCATTTCTTTGATTAAAAACAATCTTTTATAATCATTAAGCTTATATCTACGCTCTAAATAAGAACGTAAAGTATCCTTGCCTCTGTGAAGAGCACTATTATCATTTAAAACCTGTTCTGTTCCTGTCTGAAGGGACAGTGGGCATCACAGGCATTGCTCAAGTGTTTGAATTGTCACAGCCTTTGTTGGGAACGGGTTGTGTTTCAATTAAAACACGTGGTGGCAGCTATTATTTTGTGTAAAGGGTTAACTGTGGAGTTAACCATCCCCAGTGACGATTGCTATCAGTCTGCTGGCCTTAGATTGTTGTCCCACGAGCTGGGAAATCTCTTTGCAGGGTGAGGTATCAGGGTGAGGCTTAGAGTGGTATCACCAAATCTTACTGATGGCGCTGCAGGATCGGAACTGCGTATCGTCACGTATTGGTAATAGTACAGTGGGAGCGGACCTGCCATTACCATCACAGGAGCGTTATCACGCAGCCTGGGCTCACAGTACAATGTCTATAGCGTTTGGAATGTTCTGTAACCCCCGATAAAGTCTCCCCTGTATTTTGATCCAGTTGTCTCACCATACATCACACGTGGGGTGTCACAAGCAAATTGTTGGCGCTTATCTTTCTCTTTTATGTTGGCTGTCTTCTTTAAAGTGGGACAAGGACCTGCGAGACAATTGACACATCAGACACAGTACAGTATATACAAATGACCATTCTGTACAATTAGCAGATACCCGTACATAGTAATTAGAGATGCACTGATATATCGGCGGCCAAAACATATCGGCCGAAAGTGCAATTTTTTGGCCGAACTAGTGGTGCATCCGCGATTTCTCTCCTCCCCGCTGGGTGCTGCTCTGTGTCCCAACAGGGAGGAGAGAAACTGTCACAGGAGGCCGAGTAGTGTGGGAGGAGAGCGCTGTGAGCGGCCGGCGTATCTCCTTCCACGCTGCTCTACCTCATGTGACAGATCAGGAGAGTGGCGGTGTGTGGGCGGAGAAAGCCATTGCTGTCACAGGAGGCTCAGCTCTCCTTCCCGAACCGCCCCACCCAGCCTCCTGTGACAGTGAGTCAGGATAGAGAGCGGGTACAAGCAGTCAGTGATTGCTTTGTATTTATAAATAATTGAGTACAGAGCATGTTTACTATATCCTCAATTATGAATGAATGGGAAGTGATCTACATCCCCTCCTGTTCATTCATGATTGTGGTTATAGTAATCATACTCTGTCCTCATGTTATGAATGAACAGGAACACTCAGTATAGAGGATTCCTGCTCATTGATAACAGGGGCTGCAGAATAAGAGATTGAGGACTCTGTATTCTCAATCTCTTTTTCTATTGTAAAAGGAAAATATCTGCGGTCTGTAAAGACCCCTAATATTTCCCCGAAGACCCTGCAAGTAAAGTCAAAGATATTTAATAAAAATGAATAAATAAATAAAAATAAAATGAAATTAAAAAGTTTATAAAATACACATAACAAAAAAATTTAGAATAAAAATTTTTTTTGGTTTCGGCCTGACATTTTTTCCTTTCGGTTTCGATTTTGAAATTGTAATTTCGGTGCACCTCTAATAGTAATCATTTATGGATTTATGGAGTTACTCTGTGAAACGGTGAAAAAAAACACAATGGTGTTCAGTAGCTCAAAGCGAAGATAATTAGCCTCCTGAAGAGAGAATAATGAAAACATAAATTCTGCGTGGTTGCTGCACAATGGCAGTTGGGTTGCATGTCACCCGTCCTCAATGTCTGCATACATTTCAGCAGCGTTAACATCTGCCTTTCATAAAATAATACATGCACACAAATTCATAAAAGATAAAATGTGCATTTACAATTATTTTGCATTGGAGCCAGTAAAACATTTCAAACACGATCAGTGGATGGCAGGTACAATTCTCTGGCTCCAGTCCTCCAGTGCCAAGGGACGTGCTTTCAGTAACATTGATGGGAGGAAGAATGAATGGATCTCACTGCGCTTGTATTCCATTAAGAACTACAGGTCCTTCTACCACAATAATTCTCCATTCACAGGTCCTGTCGAAGGTCCTGTAACTGGATTATGGAGTTATGCCAACGGAACTTGCACAGCCGCGCCATATTCAAAAATTGGAACAAACTTCTTCCTAAGTGTTAAAGAGATCTTGTCACCTTGCCCACCAGTGATGGTGTCTCTGCCAAGGGCCTCCCGACTCCCTTATACTCAACTAGTCAATGCGCCCTTGCTGCTTCTTCCTCCATTGCAACCAGCGACATTACACAGTGCTTCCAGGTAAAGGGAAGCATGTGACAGGCTTCCCAGTGACAGTACTTAAGCTTAGCAGCATCCATTGTTAAGTCTGAGCGTTGCTACATGACCACGGGAGTGATGTCGCCGCTCCCCCTGGCTGGCAACACTGCTTGAGTGAGTTCCTATAACATAGTCTACAGCTGGCCATATATGAAGTGAATTTCGGCTGCTTCTTGATGAACTGGCTGAAATTCGCTCCACGGGTGGCCCTGTCAGAAGCCTCCCAACCAACATCTTTGGATCCAAAAATCCAAGGACCTGGGTGGAGAATTCTCGGCTGACCAGTGACTGGAGGCAATCAGCTGCAGCCACAGTTCAGGTATTATGACAGCAGCACACCAAATTAAGCGGGCGTGCACAAAATTGGAAGTCTTAGGGGTGTACTTACAAACTATTCGCAGAGCCATTCATCCTGCGAAATTGTATGTACATTTGTTCTGTGCGAATGGAGGTGAAAATTAATGTTATTAATATATTTTCTATTCAGGTCGAATGTAACATTTGGAAAATGGGAAATACAGACTTAATTCTTATGTTCCTCAGCAAAGTAGCAAAGAAAGTAGTCACTTAAATGAATCTGATTCATTAAAATGTGCAAAGTCAGCATTGTTTGCTCCTTTAGTACTGTAATTCAACCCTTTTGTCACCAAAATTTTTGGGACGCAGGTGATATGTTACCAACCTATTCTTACCTTCTGCACACTGACATACATCATTTGAGCACAGGGTAGAAATGAAGGCGGTCCTGGAGGGGGCGCCGTAGAACACTCTGCACTTGTTATCTGCCAAACACAAGATCATCTGATGGTTATTCTAACGCATACCAGTTACTATTATCTGTACATGACTGCTAGACGTACATGAACCATTAATATCATAAGGTCTGATTAGCACCCCTGGTTCCAGCCACCAATAGGAGGACTCCACTGGGTGCCCTACATCTGATATAGGCAAGCCATGTCAGACTGCAGCAGAATAAATGGAGCAGTCTGTTGCCACACCAGCCAGACGTACATGAACCATTAATATCAATGATCCAACCACCAATGGGAGGAGTCCACAGGGTGCCCTATGTCTGACGTAGGCAATCCTTGCCAGACTGCAGGAGAATTAAATGGATCAGTCTCTCAACACGCCCACCACCTGCACTGCCCAAAGTCAAGGAACTTCAAGGACCCCATGTATTGGCACCACCTGCATGCCAAAATTTATTGGGAGTGTCCAGTATACCCAGGTAGGAACTGGATGATCCTGGACATTATCCAGCCTGGAAGTTCCTCAGCCACCATGGGCTGCAATGCAAATGTACACTCCCGTGTAGAGCAAAAATGGAGAAATGACAGGCCGCATAATAAATGTTAGCCAATTCCTCAACAAAACAAATAATTTTTAGGTCATGTGCCTTTTGTTTGCCTCAGATGGGTTTGGCGTAGGTCAACTGCAGGCCAAATGCACCTCTTCATGAACTCTGAATGATCTCACAAGTGTCTCAAACCGATGTCACGGACACAAGCATAAAGCATGTCAACACAGGCTCCTATGGTGAGGCTGGAGTTGTCCCAGCCTGCTAACTGGACAGTAAAGGAGCAGCAAGAGAATGATGAGTTCATACCTCCACTCACTCTATTATCTTTTCCTATAACATGCACGGCAAATGCACCTCTCCATGAATTCTGAAAGATCTCCTAAGCATATTATAACTAATCTCATCAACACAAGCACAAAGTCCTTCGACACAAGCTCTACTGGTGAGGCTGGAGTTGTCCCAGCCTGCTGACTGGACAGTGAAGGAGCAGCAAGAGACTGATGAGGTCATACCTCTGCTCTCTTCTCCTATCATTGTTGCTTGTCAACATATTAGCATGCAGCACACTTAATTGGCTCTACCATCTTCCATTGTGATGCTGTATAGGACATTGCCAGAGGCAGGCGCCTGGTGCTAAAAAAAAATGGGCAAAGAGCAATTGGAAGGTGAATATAGGGAATTAACCTATACGGTGCTGGATGTGAGAGCCCACCAATTAAGTAAACCTATTGTATGAAAAGCACAAGTGACCACCTAGCTCACCAATGCTTAAACATATCCCTGCATACAAGTTTTCACATCTTCAGTACAAATAAACCATGTTACTGTCCGTATGACATGGAAGTAGAGAAGTCTTGGTGATTAGATCATTGACTACCCTTCACTTGCTGCATATGATTATTGGTTCTTGTACAAAGATCACAGCGTGTTACCTGGCTCATAAAAGTCATACAGGACGGCAGAGGCTGGCTGCAGGGGGGACACCTTCACCGTCTGAAACGCCTCAAATGTTACTACCTCCTTATGGCTGGTGACCTATAACAAGGGGACAGAGGAAAAGAATGTCCATAGTTAGTAATGAAATATAAAATGTATCAAGCCTCAAGATTCAAGCCTCAGACAATGACATTGTCTGTATGGCTGATGACAGCCAATCAGCATCCCCTTTATTCCCCTTACCAGCTCTGAATACATGAAAGGGAGAAGCTGAATGCTCACTAGAGATGACTCTCTAACTTATTAAAGTAAAACTCTCCTAAGACAATAGGCCGTGATTGCTGAACTCACCTGTAATAAATGATCATTGTCTGTAACATAGATACAAAGGCTTTGCTACTTTCCCAGTCACTGACCTGGAATATGTATGTCACTTGTTCTGAGTCAGGAAATGGCAGCAGGTGGGGGTGCGGGTTTCCCCCACTGCCATTTCTCTCTGTAAGGGGGACTTACCGTATTTCCCCCTTGGAAAAAAATATATGTATTTATTTCAGTGTAACATGAAGTAAGGGGAAATCCCTGGAATGAGGACACAGGCATGAATAAAAACCTAACACTTAAAGTCATAGCATTTAATAAATGTTTTGTCTGCCTTTCTACTTGAAGCTGAACTCTGCGATAAGCAAATATTGTCTAAATACCAGAGTCTTGTGTATTCTTCTTGAATCTTGGTGAGCTTTGTGTATTACTTCCAGTCAGATCTGTGCAGTGATCCAGTGTGAGACTAGCACCTCCCTGTAATAAAAAGGAGAACTATGGGGTCAGGGCTTTTCCCCATAGTTCTCCTTAGGGTAACGGGAGGACACAAACTAGCGTCCTCCCATTACCCTAAGCGCAAAATAACGCGAGCTACAGCTCGCGGTATACTGAGACGCCGCAGCTGAAGCGGATCCCGACATCGATGTCGAGATCCGCCCAGCTGCGTGAGTGACAGCTGGCTCTGCCTATCTAGAGGCAGAGCCAGCTGTACCCGCCCCCTCCCCTGTCCGTTCCGCCAGTCAGCGCTGGCGGATCGGAGGGAATCCAGCCCCTCCCCTGTCACGGCAGAGAGCCGTGACAGGATCGAGAGGTGAGCGAACGCCGGTATCTGTTCGCTCACTTCCCGATCTACTGAGCCGACCTGTGACAGTCTCACTCACCACATAGTTCTCCTTTAAAAACCGCTCACTGCTGCTCTCTATCCTTGTGCAGGGTGACTGGTCTTGTCTCCGCCCCCTCCTGTAATAAAGACCGCTCACTGCTGCTCTCTATCCTTGTGCAGGGTGACTGGTCTTGTCTCCGCCCCCTCCTGTAATAAAGACCGCTCACTGCTGCTCTCTGTCCTTGTGCAGGGTGACTGGCCTTGTCTCCGGCCCCTCCTGTAATTTTCTGCAGGCAACCTGTAGTGGGTGGGGCCTGCTGGACCCCTCCCACATCTCTACTCTCTACACAGGCTATGTACGGCACAGCGATGATGTCACTGCTACTTTTACAAGGTTACATCTGGGCTTAGTGAGGCATTTGGTGCACACAAAGAAAACGCATTATCCTGGATTTCAGCTTTAATACTTTTCTTCTGCCATACAAACCTCATCGAAGTACATGAGAAGTCTTCCCCCCTGGATCTCATAGTGACTGATGTATCTCTCCGATCCGTCCTTAAGCTGTGGGAACAGAATAGAGTATGTGTGATGGATGTATGCGTTTACTTGGGGCACAACAACAAATTCAGACACATGCAGAGAAAACGCATGACAGGCATTATATAATAGCGTGAAAACCAGGAACAGGGAACAGAATCAAAGCAATGTATTGTCCATGAATTGGTTCATTCACTTGAAGTACTTGATTCACTATAGTCTGTGCTTTGTATATTGCTCCCTCTGTCTGCAGTAGTAGAAATCAATAAGTCAGGCGCAGGATTTTGCAATGGATTACGAAAACCGCAAAGGTTGCTCGAGCACAACTTGGGGCCCTTGGGGGTCACCAACTGGGAACTTAGGGATCCACTCCAGGGTGTCCCCACTGGCTAGATTAAGCTGCGTATACCTTGTTCAGATCCTGTACGCTGGGTTCAAATCCACTCAGCATGGTGATGTCAACAATAGCCATTCCAGTGGCACGATCTTCAGCTTTTATCCTAGAAGAGAGGCAAGGTAAGGACTAAGGAGGGAAACAATAAGGCATTGAGGTATTTGTCTTGAATATTTAAAGCCCAAATCTAGCCAAAACTTGTGTTTTAAAGTTTTGGACAGATTAAAGAAGGTATATAACCTTTTATGATCAGCATTAGGCCTGTACAACCTGCAGGTTGTCATTCAGTATTGCAGCTCAGATGACAATGTAGCGCACACCTGCCCTAATTAGGAGTGTTTAAGTAGACTGCTGGGTATTTTGTCTTTGCCTGAATAACAGATTAGTCAGTCTGCTCATACCCTCCATGGAGGTTTGTCTGACTTCTGTTTATGTCCTGGATTGTTTGTACAGCATTTGTGCTCAGCTTGTCTGTGCTTTTCTAATCCTCAGCCTGTTACCCCTGCTATTTTCACTCCGTGCTCTGTCTATGCTCTATCTGAAACCTGGACTCTGTCAAGGATCTGGATTCCTGGTCGCACAATCAGCCTGCTGGGTCTCTACTGTGTGCTCTGATCGTCTGTCTGAAAAAATACACTGCAAATCTCTGCCCAAAAGCGGGAAGGACAAGTTTCTGGTTAACTAATCTTCCAAGGAGCGGGTTGTTGGATGTATCGTTACATCTTAACACACAGTTTTAGTAAGTTCAAAAATATATGTTTTTATATTTTCAGATGTGTTTGCCCCAAATTCCCAAAAAATCATTGCAGAATGGATTATTCTCGCATGCAGACAGCAGGCGGAGCTCTGAGTTCCATTTTACATGCTTTGCAGTATCTCTTTACCTACTGTAGTAAAAAGCTTGTTTACAGAACTCAATAGCTCAAGATAAAATTCACACACAGACATACTTCCCTAGGTACAGCACTGTCAGAGTTTCCAATCAGAGACAGAGCCTCGGAGAGAACAGGCTTCTTCTGCTGTGCTGTCTCCCTAGATAACCCATATTGCTCTGGGATTCATGTATTAGCAGGGTTATTCCCAAAAGGGTGAAGGGTTTGGAGAAGGCGGGAGAAGGGAACAATATAGGACAACATAGCTGAACTGGAAAAATTATCCTATTCAGCTCACTTTCCACTTCAGCTATGTTGTCCTAGACCAGTGGGTCTCAACCTTTCTAGGGCTGGGACCCCTTGGTAACATTTGCCAAGTTGTGGTGACCCCCCAACGGTAACATTTAGGGATGACGCGGCTGCTGCAGCGACATCTGGCGGTGTGGCGGGAGAACTGACCCTGCTGCGCTAGAAGAGCGCTCAGGAGGACTCTCACCTAGCACAGCAGAAATCACACAGCGACCCACAGGTTGAGAACCACTGTTTAAAGGAGACAACAAATCGCAGCAATAGTCCATTATACTATAATGTTCCATTGCTGGGATTTGTAGTCCTCTGTAGCTGGTGGTATTCTGCAGTGTGCTGTATAATTATACGGTGCAACGCAGAATACCACCAGCTATAGAGGAATACAGCAAATCGCAGCAATAGTACATTATACTATAATGTACTATTGCTGGGATTTGTAGTCCTCTGTAGCTGGTGTTATTCTGCGTTGCGCTGTATAATGTACTATTGCTGGGAGTTGTAGTCCTCTATAGCGGCTGGTATTCTGCAGTGTGCTGTATAATGATTATACGGCGCAACGCAGAATAACACCAGCTACAGAGGATTACAAATCCCAGCAATAGTGCATTATACTATAATGTACTATTGCTGGGATTTGCTGTATTCCTCTATAGATGGTGTTATTCTCCATTGCGCCGTTTAATGTACTATTGCTGGGATTTGTATTCCTAATATAGCTGGTGGTATTCTGCAGTGTGCTGTATAATGATTATAAGGCGCAATGCAGAATACCACCAGCTATATAGGAATACAAGAAATGCCAGCAATAGTACATTATACATACAGCGTATAATGTATTGCTGGGATTTGTAGTCCTCTATAGCTGATGGTACATATAAAGCACAATGTACCATCAGCTATAGAGGACTACAAATACCACTACCCCACCATGTGGGGCTTACCTGAGCAGATTGTGAGAGATAGAGAGCAGATTGTCACAACACAATCCTTTTGGTAGCTGCACGGCACTGTTATGTACGCCGTCAGAATAAAATAAAAAAACATACCACCATGGGAATGCATAGCCAGATTCCTATTAGCTATTTCAATTTGCACTATCCAATAGCAACCTGGCTATTGCACCCGCCCTCTGCTGCTGTCAATCACTAGAAGGGGACCTGATGGAGAACTGCAGGTCCCCCTGTGCTGATTGGCAGCAGCAGAGGGCGGGTGCAATAGCTAGTTTGCTATTGCAGAGTGAAATAGCCAATAGGAATTTAGCTATGCATTCCTATGGTGTTTGTTTGTTTGTTCTGACTTACGGCGGCCGGCCCCGATGTCAGAAAAAAAAAAACCCAGTGCAGAGAAAGGTAAACCTTTCTGGGAGAAAGTGTTTCTCTCCCGGGCGGCCCCTGGCAAATCGTCATTGGACCCGCAGATTGAGAACCGCTGTCCTAGATTGTTCACTTCTCCGTCCTTCTCCGAACTCTTCACCCTTTTGTGAATAACCCTGTAAATGTTTACTTGTAAAACAAAAGTTTTGTGTGTGTGTGTGTGTGTGTGTGTGTGTGTATGTATGTATGTATGTGTGTGTGTGTGTATATATATATATAATTAAAACCTTTCAACTTTAAAAGATATACATTTATAGTTTTCCTTTTTAATACTCCATCCAGAAAAGGCCTGGAGCTATGGAGTGAAAGGGAATAAGCGTAAGGCCTACATGACAAGAGTGGAAAGGGGGAAGGGAAACTAGGGTAGGAAAAGGTTAAAGAGAAGTTGGAAAAGAGGATCAGGGGAATGTGACTTACCGGATTGGAGGATAGTGGTCTTCAAGGAGGGGCTTTGGATGAGAGACAGGAAGGAGGCGTCCCAGGAGTCCAGTTGGCAACTGGCAGAAGAGGGAGACGAACTTCCCACCCGCCTGCCCTTGTTATGGTTTATTGTGGCTGTGGTATGGTTTGTCACAGCTGTGGTTTGGCGGTTTGGGATCCTTGAAGGCATTGGTCTGTGGTTGGGGACCCATCTGTGTTGTGGGTGTCCTTCTGTGGTGGCAAGGTAAACCGGTTATGGCCGGGTAATGGGGACCAAGGTGGGTCTGCGTGCAATTTAATTACGTCCGCGAGGCAGTGTATGGTGGCTGGGGGCATTAAGGGATACATGTGCCCGCAGATACTGGTCTGTATATAGATAGAGTTATAGTGCCTTCAAGGATCTTGAAACCAAACAATGTTGTATACAGTACAATTATTGGTTGTTGTTGTTATGTATAAAATGTTATTTATATAAGTTTGTAATAAAAGGCTGCCGTGGCCATTAAACTCCACCTTTTTTGTGTAGCGTATTACTTAGTTAAGGTTGGGGATTGGGTTTTTCGATAGAGGGTTTAATGGAAGGGACCTCGGAGCTACAGTCATGTAATCGTGTCATTGTCCTTACCACAGGGATACCATGTAGACCACTTTCACTGATTTCTCTTTGGGCTGAGAGACCTCTCTTCTTGCTCTACTGCGCAGGTCATGCCAATGGATGTTCCCCAGGGGTTCGTCAGCCATCTCATCATCCTCATAATCACCGTAGTCCACTTCGTCTGCTCGGTAACAGGTTAGAGAAGAGATTCAGGGTCACCCTCACTGAGTAAGTGCTGGGCTTCTCCAGACTGTTTCTATTGTGCTGGGCCAGCCTGCATTTCATGACTTACATGGGTTGGTATGTGAAGAACAGGCCTGATATTATGATATTATTGTAGTATGGGTGGACTAGGTGAAGACCGAGATAAATGCACATTGGACATAGAGGAGCACTCAAGTCAAACAACAAATAGCAGGAAATGCATTCTGCGCTCTGTGCCTTTAAAGCTTAAGGCCAGGCAAGTAGCTAAATACATATACAGGAGCTGCCAAAAGATGTATATTGATCTCCATCCAGTTCTGATATTTACACTGTTCTGCCACACTGTACTGCTCTGTCCGGCAGGGAAGGAGACCTGATCTTTATTTGCTGAAGTTCAGTAACGCTTACAGGTCTTGTCCTTCGTCCAACCTGTGACTGGACAGTGAAAGGAGAAGCAGCTCACTGATAAGCTAATTTCTTTGTCACTCTGCTCATACCTTCTATCAGCATATCCCTTGTTAGCACAAATGCACTGCAGGAAATTAATTGGCTCCTTGTGCTGCTTCTCCCTTCGACAGTCTAAGCTTTGTTGTACAGGGAATTGCAAGAAGCTGATGCCAAGTTCAATCCATGTACTTACATGCTTGCATTAAAAGATAATAATGTATTAATAAATATGGAGCTACATTATGTACTTTAATGATGCACGCCACTGATCACACAGAAAATATATGAATCTTGCCTCTGTGTTGACCACAATGCAGTCCACGGGAAACATAAAGCTGCCCACACATGTTGCAATCTGATTGTATAATGTCTGTTCAATATATAGTTACATAGTATTTGAGGTCAAATAAAGACACAGGTCCATCAAGTTCAACCTACTGAGTGTATGTATGTAAATCTGCCTGTGTATGCATGTGTATGAGTCCATGTGTGATCTTGTTTTTAATGGTACCTGTACCCCTGAATGTTACCGTCTCTGAGGAAATTGTGCAAATGCTTTTTGAATGATTCAACACTCTCAGCTGATACCACTGCTTGTGGCAGAGAGTTCCAGACCCTAACCGCTCTAGCTGAGAAGAAGCCCCTACGCCCCTTGTGGTTAAATCTTTTCTCCTCCAATTTTAGGTGGTGGCCTCTAGTCTTTGTTATGGAGTTTACAGAAAAAAGTTTATCGCTGATGTTGCTATCACCATTGAACATCTTGTACATCAAAATCATACCCCCCCTTAATCTTTGCACCTCCAGCGTGAACAAGTTTACGTTTTGTAACTTTGTCTCATAGCTTAGGTCCTCCATCCCCTTAATTAGTTTAGTTGACCTTCTCTGGACTCTTTCCAGCTCCAGGACATCCTTTCTGCGGATTGGTGACCAGAACTGGACTGCATACTCCAGATGAGGCAGAACCAGCGATCTATAAAGTGGTAGATTTATTGCTTTGTCTCTACAGGACATTCCCTTTTTAATACAAGACAGAACTCTGCTCGCTATGCTTGCCACAGCCTGGCACTGCAAGCTATTATTCAATCTGTGGTCAATAATGACCCCCAAATCTTTTTCCCTTTCTGACTTCCCTAGTGGAGTTCCCATTAATGTGTATTCCGCTTGCCTATTTTTAACCCCAAAGTGCATTACTTTACATTTATCAACATTAATCCTTAAAGGGAATCCTGATATTTTCTCCATGGTTGCTGGAAATTGTACACAATCTACTGTATATGAAAACCATAGGCAGACTGTGTAGAAATAAACTAGTACTAGTGGATCATATGCAGAGCTTGAATTATAATGAGGAAATGTGCTACTCACCTTCAGTTTCATCCCCATGAACTAATACCTCAAGCCCAAGCTGTGAGCAGTCTGAGTCTTCCACCTTCATGATGTTATATCTCTTCAGGACCTGAAGGAGCGTTACAAAGTCAGGGGCAAGCGTCACAATCACAAAGCAGCATGAAAACCATTTTGTATATGAGCCAGGGACTAATACAAATCACACAACCAGAATGCTGTGACATAGATTAAGTGTTTTGTGTTTTTAGAAGCTGGTGGTCACAATATGGGCCTCACCGCAACATGAATCCAGCCTGGAACATCATTTTCAGTGCTGGCAAAGGGCCACAACTTTCTTCTGACACCTCAATTTTGTAAATTTGACTTTTTTTTTCTAGAGTTGATGACAGTCAGTTAACTATGGTAGACTGTCTGTATTAGGATAAGGACTGCTTCTAGCAAAGCCCAGAAATAATGCAGGCAGCAAGATTGACTACAAGGGGACATGTCCCTGACAGCCTGGCCAAGGAGGAAGTGCCTGGATGACTTGGCCACCATGAAGACCGGACATGACTAGACATCGGATTGCATACTAACTTCAGGAAAAGGAATGGAAAACTGATCTACTTCCCGGTCTACATGGTGGCCAATGTCATCCGGACACTTCCTCCTTGGCCAGGCTGTCAGGGACATGCCCCCTTGTAGTTAGTGACCAAGGTTTGAGGGAATGAAAAACTGATCTACTTCCTGTCTACATGCACTTACTCCATCGTCAGTTGCACATCTTTGAAATGACTTTCTGATAGTGACATCACAATGTGTGTTAGCATGGCTGCATGATGTCTCCACAAGGGGTGCCAATGGACAGGGTGACAGCACAGGACCACATTTGGGAGACAGTGGTCACCTTATAACAGGGAGTACCTGAGCATTGAGCTTCGTGGCGGGATCAATGGGTAGTATTTTAATGAAAGCCACAGTTTTAGAAATGTTTAAAACAACTTATGAAATAACATTAACATGTTAAAGCTTATATACGATTTTAGGGATTGTGATTACATGTACTTTGAGTTTCAAACCCACCCACGTGCCTTATGGCTCACAGAAGCCAAATTTATTATACAGTAAAGTCAGGAATAATTGTATATATTTTTGCCATACTCACTGTTAAGATACCGGTCCCTTTGCCAGATACCTTCACTGTAAATGTTTTTCCTAACGATCTCTGTAAAGCATAAAATAATTATTTAGTTTTTAACCCTTTTTTGATGAATTGCCTCTTATTTATTGTAAGCAATTGTTTACCTTGGGGTTTGTTATAGCTTATACCAGCCTCTCTACACCTTCTTACCCCCAGAGAAACCCCAAAATAATATTCTGAAACTCTTACTAAATCCATTTCATCAGGTCAATTAAATGTCCCTTACATTGGTGGCCAGAGAGAAGAGTGGCCCCCTTACAGTGATGGCCACACTGCTGTGTTTGCCAAGAAGCCTTGTAGGCACAATCAGATGGGAGGTCAATCATCCACAGCTCATGGAACCCCTAGAAACCACTTGAAGAACCCTGGAACCATGAGAATGGCTGGCCTATACCTTTGCAAAATATCCCGAACTTTCCTTATAGTTATTTGATCTGTATTTATTGTATACAACTATGGCCTGGTTCACTCTAGCGGAGGACTCAATTTGATAGCCTGGACAATTACTGGGACTGTGGAACCTACTAAGGCATGCTGGAAGAACTATCAAATATCTGAGCCACTTCCTGCTCTGTCTCTTCCCTTCTGAGCTTCTGCCCTGTGAGGATGTCTGCATAGTAAGTCTTTCCTAGGCCTGAGGTCTAGGCACATGGAAAGATTCAGGGATCTCCCCTCCTGGGAGGAACCCCTGAAGGGGATAGCTGCTGGAAGACGAGTATATGGCCTAGAGCAGGGCTAGCAAACCTATGGCCCACCAGCTGTGGTGGAACTACAAATCCCATGAGGCATTGCAAGATTCTCACAGACATGACTCCCAAAGAGAGATGCATCATGGGATTTGTAGTTTCACCACAGCTGGAGGGCCAGAGGTTTGCTACCCCTGGCCTAGAGGAAAGAAGCTGCTTTTGTCCTACCACAAATGCAGATTTTGGTTGAGGGTTGAGTGGGAAGTTATGCACAGGAACCTTTCTATCTTTTCCTGCCTTGGAAGTGAAGATTGAGATACCACTAGAACACCAATTGCCAAATTGCCTAACTGATAGTAACCAGCTAGCACAGTCTGATATTAGAAGGAAGACATCCAAGTACTGTAATGTAAGATCCAGAAGAGATTGAGGCCTACTTCAGAGAATGAGATCTAGTGTACTGTGGGATATCCTGATCCACACCTCACTCTCCTACCCATATTGCTCTTAGCAATAGAACCTTTTCTATTTTGAATATACTAAAGTGACTGGTGCCCAACCAGAGAAAATAAACCATGTCTAAGGTAAATGCGTCTGAGACGCTACTGTAAGTAAATGGGATTAGAGCATTCCTTAGCGCTACATATATATTTCACCAATGGATGGGGTTGTTTGGGGTAATTCTCCAATGTTTTTAAGGGCTCATGTCCTATTTTCAACTTAAAATTCAGGTGTATTTCCCTGTTTCTTGCATGCTTCAGTGCTGCGTTCAATGGTGCTTCTTTATTGTTTGTAGTAAATAAAACCTGATAGGGGTTCTAACTCTTCTAAACTCTATCCAAAACTAAAAACCAAACTAAAAACAAATGGCAGGGGTTGGGGTTGAATTGTAATCACATTACTTTGGAAGCCTGGGACTGCACTTACCCAGCAGCAGCAAATGTAAGCACAGCCAACCATGCAAGCCACAGGCCTTACCAGCTCTTCCTGAAAGAAGTCTTGATTGCGTAGAGTGAAATTCGTTTTTTCCGATCTTCCCGGGGAATCAAGCATAAAATTTAACTCATTGCGGTCATCGTCAGAGGTTTGGATACAGTATTCGGAGAGAGCTTCCAGCGCCATGACCGTGTCCTACAGAGAAGGCAACATCAAACAATTATGAATGATCTTGATCTAAAACATCTACTTGCCTTGTTTTGTTATCAAGGTGAATGCCAGGAAGCAGGAATTTCCAGCATACAGGAACCTTAACATTGCTATTTTCAGAACAGTTAGGTTAGTTTATGCAGCAGAAGATCCCAGAACAGGATAGGTGAATATGCAGACAAAGGTTGAGTTTGCTTTAGAAAAAGTCAGTGTTAGGGTTACAGAGATGGTTTGTGTTTGGATTACAACAAGGGTTTGTGTTAGGATTACAGCAAAGTTTAGTTTAGGGTTACAGAGATGATTTGTGTTAGGATTACAGGGAGGTTTTGTTTAGGGTTACAGGGAGGGTTAGTGCTGGGATTTACAGAGAGGGTTTGTGTTGGGATTACATCAAGGGTGTGTGTTAGGATTACAGCGAAGTTTAGTTTAGGGTTAAGGTGCCCATACACTGCTCGATTCTCGTACGAGAATCGAGCAGTGTGAACGGAGACGTGCGACCGTTTCTACTGTACGGTCGCACGTCTTTTGTCTAAGGAGCATGCTAGAAAACCAGCCGAAAATCGTACGATTTTCGGCTGGTTTTAACGGTGCTCGGGAGACAAATGCCGAACGGGCCGGTGTGCGCACGCGCACACTGCCCGTTCAGCATTGCGGTCATCGGAAACCCGCTGGCTGTCAAAATACCTGAACAATCTGATTTGATGCCGGCATTGTTCAGGTGCTTTGAGAGCCAGCGGGGCCGACTAGCAAGATACTGAAGCTTGGCCCAGTGGGAGATTCCTCCGTCCACACAGTTTAGCATATATGGAGGAATCTGTTGTACTTTTTCCATCTGACCATAGAAAATCTGCAGATACTCTATAGATGTATGGCCAGCTTAAGCAGTAGAGGCGTCGATGCACATTAATGATATACAGCAGCTGCATCAAACTACCAGTTTAGCCCTTTTCTCTTACCTGGGTAGATTTAAATCCTCCGCCATAGTTCTGCTGCTCGGTGAGCCAGGTGTACATAAGGTTTGCATTAGGAATGTCATTCCGGAGCAGGGCCGTCAGCAACGCATACGATGTTGTTTCAACAGCAAGAGCTGTGCCTTTAGGGCCGAAATACATCTGAGACGGGTCTGCAAATAAGATATTTACAGATTTTATTTAAAAAAAATCATATTCAATATAAACGCTTCTGAACTATGTTTGTTGTCGTTACAGAGTCTGTCCAAATGACCCACTGAACTACATCTCAGGCAGGTCTCCTTCCTCTAGTGCAGGGGTGCCCATTAGGTAGATCGTGATCTACAAGTATGTAGGTGGGGTTCACTCGCGGAGTGTTGCGTTTGAGTTCCCTTTTGGTTGGCTCTGGTAACCCCGTGTATGCAACACGACACCAGGCACCCCACGGTCAGGGGCCTCGCTCTGGCCTCGTGCAAACAACTTCCACATGTGTAGTACTGCACACACAGGGCCTCATGGCTTCCACCACCTCTGCGGTATTCAGCGCTTCCTCCCCCGTAGGGAGAAAGGCCACCAGGAACGGCACCCTATGTCGGCCAGAGCCCCTTTGCACACCTACCCTCCTCAGGATGGTTACAGCCACGATACAGTCCAACATCACACTCCTGTAGAACCCCCACCTTGTCAGAGGTTGGAGGGAGAAGAACCAGTCCACACAGATAGTCTTTTCTTGATTTTACTTGAAAGAATGAACATGGTATGAAGCATACATTTCAGCCACCCCCAAGTGGGGTGACGGCACATCACTTGTTACTTGCTTGGTGATACAGATTAGAGAGAGAGAGAAGAACAGCCCAGGTGCAGCCCAGAGTCCACGACTTACTTTGGCATATATAGCTCGTCATTTGAAAAGTAGATCTTAACCCAAAAAATTGTGGGCACCCCTGCTCTAGTGGAACCGTATAGTCAGAATTGTCACAGCACAATAGTGTGAGCCCGGGAGAAAGCCTTATTCACACTTGTGCAGCGCATGAACGGGCACAAAATTATACAATTTTGGTCACCTTAACGAAACACATGGGAACCAGTTTTGCACTTGTGATGCCATTCATTGTTAACGGCACCCCGAATGTAGCAAGCACAAAGATGCATGACAGTCAGACATAAAAAAACTGCGTGGTTGCAAACACTCTTAAAACGCACATGAGCCTCTCTGCCACATTTGTTGCACGTAGGACAACCAATTTAAATGACATGGCTGCCCTACGCACAATGTGTCACCAACGCGCTACATGTTGCGTGTAACAAGTGTGAATGAGGCCTGAGGGATTAGCGCTGAGATTACGGCTAATTTCTGTAAATGTGTGCGTGGACATTGCTCATGGTGATAACATTTCCAGAAATGATGCAGAACAGGAAAGAATGTTCCAGGAACATCAGAAATGGAGATTAGAAAAGAAATCAATAGACTAAATCAAATATTTGTCACTCACTGTACACTTTTTGGGCTTTGGACATCAGGCTTTCGTAGGCTTGGTCCTTTGAGTTGGTAGACATAAGATTGAGGGCGTAGGTGGTGATAGCCAAGGGGTATGGCTCCGACAAGGAGTTCAGCGCAGTACGCAGGTAATCTAGCCCTTTATTAATGCTTCTTGTCTGTGAAGCCATAAACACAGGAACAAGTTAAATGCTTGATAAGTGCCAAACAAAATCCATAGATACAGTACAGTGATTGAGTGTTATCCCTCTAGGACAGGAAGTGCCAGGATCAACAGGTGAAAATAAAGAAAAAAATCCAGGAAATAAAGGAAAAACACAGGAACACGTTTAATGGTTTAAAAAGTGCCAAAAAGTCCACAAATCCTGCCAGAAATCCAATGAGTTTCCAACTTCCTGTACATGCTACTTCTGTGACACGTATCGCTTACATTGTTTCCAATTGTCCTCCCTCGCCGGGAGGTATTATGTAGTCCTAACACACTTCCTGCCCTGCTGTTCAATAGATACAGTACAGTGAGTGAGTGCTGTCACCCTAGGACAGGAAGTGTGTTACTGGCAGGATCATTAACTGGAAATAAATAAATAAATAACTGGAAATAACACAGGAACAAGGTTAATGGTTTAATAAGTGCCAAAATGTCAAAAAATCCTGCCAGAAGGTCCTAACTTCCTGAACACTTTGCTTTTGCTGCATTGTTATCAGTTCCATTGTTTCCATTTCCCTCTAACTGGTTATGAAGATATGATGAGAATGGGGGGTGTTATGTGTCCTAACACACTTCCTGCCCTAGGGTGACAACACTGCTGTTCCATATATACAGTACAGCGAGTGAGCATTGTCAGCCTAGGACAGGAAGTGTGGTACCTGGTGGCATCACCAGGTAAAAAAAAAGACAACCAATGAAGCCACCAATACACTTTATTGAATGAAAGTTGTATGTTTCTGTGGGCCTCTTTTTTTTGCCTGTGTTGGTCACAGGGGTGCGCAACAGCCATTCTGAATATTGAAGGGTACGGTAATAGGGAAATCTTTCAATGGGGAAACCTGTTCCAGTGACGGCTGGATTTTCCCTTAATTTGAAGTAATTTCCTCTGACTTCCTGTTGTGTCCATGGGACAGGAAGTCAAGGGAAATCTTCCCAACGGGACACAGACAGCAAAAAGTTTGATGGGGTTCAAGCTTCTACTACCGTATCCAACATTTGTTTTTTAAAGTTCCGTATACATTTTAACATAACATAATATAAAAAGCCAGTTCTATGTACCACTTTATTGTCATCTTCAGCAAGCGCGTCCTTGGAATAGTGGAGAGCAATCAGCACGTAGGCTGTGAGTGACACTTCAGCGTTCTTCCCAGAAACACCTCCCTGCAGAGATAAAAGACAGATTTGGATACTCGGGGCAGTTCACTTAAAGCAGTTCTGTTATCATGAATGTGTCAATAAATGTATTGTTCTGGATGTAAGCAGTGTAAGTACCTGAATGTGACCAGGTGTCAGCCTCTAGCAGTCCCTGTACAGCAGGGCTGGAGAGGGAAAGGAAGAAACAGCACAAGTAAATTTTTGCTTTTTTATCATGAATATTTAGGGGGTTATTCACAGAGCAGCCGAAGGATTCAGCCGTAGCTTTGGCCGATCCTTTAGCTCTCTTCAGCCGCCGGAAGTCGAACCAAAGGGCTGCTGTACGGGCTATTCACTATAGCCCATACAGCAGCCGAAGGTGATACGCGAAGCGGGGCGAAAGGCCGGATGAAGGGGCAGCTTTTCGCCCCACAAATGACAGCTGGGCTGAGCCAGCCGTGATCTCAGTCCCATAGGAGAGAATTCCCATATGCATAGCTCCCAACTTTCTGAGATGAGAAAGGGGGACACCTTCTAGCACAATGTATTTAGGCAATGAACAAACCCCCTTCTACGCCCACCCAGTCAGGGGAACCATTAATAGTGTGTGTGTGTGTGTGTGTGTGTGTGTGTATATGTATATGTATGTATATCCTTTATATTGGCATTTCAAAATAGCAAACAAGATGGGAGATGAGATAAAGATTTTAGTGCAGAATTACGTTTTGGTAGTTAAATAGAACATTTTTTATAGATATTAGTACATGAGACCAAAAAGAGGGACAGTTGAGGAGGAAAGATGGACAGAGGGATTTGATTCTAAATGAGGGAGAGTCCCTTTAAAATGAGGGACAGTTGGGAGGTATGCATACAAGAGAATTCCCTTCTTGAGAGGAAGAGATGTGCATTACCCATTAAAGAAGAAATTGATGGATATGGTTCAGGAAGTACAGTACAAATACTTCTAGCTGCTAATAAGAACAGTAATATGTAATGCAGTTTGGAGAGTCCTGTGTCTTCTTACCGCCATATCTTTGTGGATGAGCGGCGCGGTTTCCAAGAAAGCCCCAGTTTTGGTCTGCTTGGTGATGAGATAGGAGACAGATTTCTGGATCTCTTCATCGTCAATGTCAATATATTTACGACATAAGGACATCACTTTCACCACAAAAGATGTGAGCCTGAGGAAACCCAAAGAGGAGCCATGTCTCTGACATTACATCTCAGAGATTATTTTTTCCTAAATCAGAGGAGAAACCGGAGCTAAAGTCTGCAGTACTTATCTCTGCTCCAGGGATAGGGCACCTGTGAGCTACCTTACACTTCTGACATCTTCTCCTGGTCTTTATCCCAGTTCAACCTCCTTGACCATCTTGATTGGCCCGGGATGATGTAACTTCCGCGCGTGCACACAGATATTTTTTTACCCCGTCACCAAGGCATTATTGTGCACAGAGCTGCCCATGTGCAGTTCAGTGTACAGTGTAGAGAGATCATCTTTTGTCCCTTGTCATATTAAAAAAGCCCTCGGTGAGGTCCACAATTCTGAACAATTTGAGACCCATCTTCTTTCTCCAAATTACCGCCAAACATCTTGAACGCCTGGTCTACAATTGGCTGTGCCAGCCCCTTACTGTTAACCTTATTGACCCCTTCCAATATGGCTTTCGTCTGCAACACTCCACAGAAACTGCCCTACTAAAACTTGCTAACGATCTACTAACTGCTAAAAACAATGGCTACTACTCTATACACATACTTCTGAAACCTTCTGCTGCCTTTGACACATTTGAACACCTGCTCCTCCTCAATAAGCCCCAATTCCTTGGCCTCCAAGACTCTGCTCTCTCATGTTTCCCCTCCTAACTATCTCAGCGCACCTTCAGTGTCACCTACAACTCTACCTCCTCCTCTCCTCTTCCTCTGGAGGTCCCCCAAGGATCTGTCCTTGGGCCAATTCTATTCTCTATCTACACCTCCTCCCGGGGTCAGTTGATAACCTTGCATGGCTTCCAATACCATCTCTACAACACCTAAATCTATTTCTCCAGTCCTCAGCTCCCTCCCTGTGGCTCCTCACGCATCACTACTTTATTCACTGACATATCATCATGGAGGTTTCATTTAATAATAGAACTGCAATCTTAAAGCGCTGTGCAAACTGTTGGGGCAATATAAATCCTGTATAATAATAATGATCTCTGGCTCTCCTCTTACCAGGTGCTGCTGGGTCTATTTAGCCAGGCGCCGTACGATCCATCTTGTTTCCTGTACTGTAATATCCTTGTGTATCCTGTGAACAAACAGATGCATGGACCAATACCATTTCATTGTATCCCAGTTGAATTTCTTTTATTTTTCCTAGGGATGCCCCGATACCGATATTAGTATCAGTATCAGTGCTGTACCGAGTATTTGGGCGAGTACTCGTACTCACCCAAATGCTCTGAAACCTTTCCCAATGCCGGAACTTCGGTCAGAGGAAAATTTCCTCTGACCGGCAGTGCCGTAGGGGAACATGGTGCAGGCTTCCTGGGCAATCAGGAAGCCGTGTGGCGAGTAATGGCCCGGCTCCTGGCTTCCTGATTGGCCGAGAAGCCAGCTCCAGGCTGATCCCAGCCAATTAGCATCGAGGCGGCCGAACAGCCGCCTCCTTACTGATTGGCTGGGAAGCCGGCTTTCTGGCCAATTAACAGCAAGCCAGCCGAACAACCAGATCAATGCTGATTGGCTGGGAAGGCGGCTTTCCAGCCAATCAGCATGGAGCCGGCTTCCCGGTCAATCAGGAAGCCGGGAGGCGGATCATTACTCACCACCCAGCTTCCTGATTGGCCGGGAAACTCAATGCTGATTGGCTGGGTAGCTGGTTTCCTTGCTAATCACAATCGAGCCAGACAAAAAAACAGGGAGCCGATTCCCAGACAATCAGGAAGCCATGAGGCGGGTCCTTATTGTCCGGGAAGCCGGCTCCCTGCTGTTTGGCTGGGAAGCCGGTTTCCTGGCCTCACAATTGAGCCAGCCAATCAACATGGAGCTGGCTTCTCAGGCCATATTGGAAGAGCTATAGGCAGCTATAGATTATATACAGATCTCAACTGCTGTAATACCTGAGCTTGCCCCCTCACCGGCAAGATTCTCCCCTAAACTGGCCATACACTAGCAGAATTGTGTTCAAAATATTCCTTTCAGAACATTTGTCTGAATTTCGAATAGTTAATGGGGTCAAACTGACAAATCTGACCACAGTGATGGAAAGAAATCAAAAGAAACTAACAGTGAAAGTGGCTTCCTTTCGGGAAACTCCATTCATTTCATAATGTTAAAACCCAACGAAATTTCGAACGACATTCGTCGAGTTTCTGATGGCATTAGCGGATGTTCTGATTTTTTGAATGTTCGTATGAAAATCTACCAGTTTATGGCTTTATCGGGATGTGAGGCCTTCAGGGAAGCTCATGTGGTAAGAAAGGGGTGGAGACAAGTTAGACTTCTACAGAAAAAGTCAAGATTTGAATATAACTTCCTTCTACACGCATTCTAGAACCAACGTCTTCCGTATCAGACACCTTACCATTCCCCATGTTCTCCAGCCCCTGGTCTCTGCGATCCGGTGGGAGAGTACCCCACTTATTGGTTCGGTCAAGGTAGCGCATGGCGTACACCCCTGGGGCAGTGGCGATCATAGTTTGCTCAGCGCAGCCATGGGGGACACGGATCAATTTGCTCACTCCATCCGAGCTCAGGGTGTTGTTTATGGTGTTTATTGGGCTGTCCACTGCAGAGGAATAAACCAAAGATTTGCCATGAGGATTGCGATACACAACTAGGATCTAATGAAGTATTTACTGCGTGCACAGGTGATGTTAAAGGAATTATAGTAAAAAAAATTTAGCCCTCATCACCTTTTGTGATGTGGCTACTAGACATTTAGTGATAGCCAGGGCTGTAGACAGCCTGGCTGGATTATAGTGACAATTATCTGGTTAATCCCAGATGTCTAGCCTTGCCTGTACCCCCAGGGCGGAGTGTGACTCTGTCATATTGTGGGACAGCCAATTGAAGATACTGTAATGCATGTACAGTACAGCGGCCAATCACTGGGTTTCTCTCAGCCAGTGGTGCATGCTGGGATAGAGTACATATATTGGTGGGATCTGCCATGTGCTCAGACTAGTCCGGGACCAGCCATGGAATAGGACTGGGTCAGGTTCAGCCTGCCCCCCAGGCTAGGCCTGAGGCCTGGGGGTGGTCAAGGGCTGGTGTGAGGGAAAGGTTTCCCTGTCTCTTAATTGGATCTGCACTGATGTGCTGTGAAGTCTGGTGAGTCTGGAGCTCTTGTTGGTTACCCCATGACACATAGAACCCCTATACCCTCTCTCCCCAGTGAAGATGTTCAATAAATCGTTTACTTACTCGTCTACCAAAATAGCGACCGCAGAGCCAGCTGTCAATTAGGCAGCATGGTGGATCTCAAGAATTTTGCATGGCTCTGCGCTGTCAGCATATAGGGGGCACTAGCCAGCTAGTTGCTGAGTTTGGGTAACAGGAATACATTGGTAAATGTCCTCCTGTGACCCAATAGAGAACTATAGCAAAAAAAGGATTGGCCATAGTTCTCTTTTAATCACTTTTATTCCTGTGGCAGCTTTCTGTGTTGCCCCCAAGCTGACCTTAGGTTTGTGCCTTGTTTGTCTAAATGCAGCCTTGACAGTACTTACTGGTAGCTTTCACTTGAGAGAAGGGTTCTCCATCTGGGATCATATTTGAAGGTAAGCCCTGATCGATTCTTAAAAAACTCCTGGTTTTGTCTGTATTAAAATGAAAGAGATAAATAAAATAAGTGCCGGCTACAATTATGGGTTCAATCGTAGACTCTCTATGATGTTGCTATGATTAAGCCCATATGGGCGAAACGCACCAAAGGGCAGTGCCTAGGTGGGGACTGCAACGTGAACTTCAGATTTGTCTTGCTGAATAAAGTTACTTGTGAGTGACATTACTGGCAGTGTGTACTGCTTGTGTGGATCGTGTATAGCCAGAACTCGGTATACCCATGGCCATTGCTATACAGAGGACTGAGAATTTTGGAGCAGTGCAATCCTTTGTCTTTTACCTTGATGGTATAGTGTCAATTCAGAGTCCAAGAGGTGCCTATATAGTAATAATGACCACATGTCCCCTTTAAGGGAGATCCCACCATCATACCAATGATGCAACTATACCATAATATTAAATTCATATAATTAGGTGGCTATATAGCTTTACTTATCTTCTGAATCACCCCAGGACCTCAAGACCAGTCCAAAGTAAGATTATACAGATTTATGGATTAATGGTCAACAAATCAGACAACCCAAGAGTAAAGAAAGAGACAAAAAGCAGTGTATATGGGTATGGAGGGTACATATGGATTCTCTCCCCAGTATCTCCAATAAAGGATGCAGAGCACTTTGGTTTTGAAGGGTAATATTTGAAAGCACCTAAAAAATCCTGGCCTACGTACTATTAAAGGTGAGTGTTCTGGCATCCTAGACTTTTGGAGAATTTCCTCCTTGCGTTGGTAGCTGACTAACCATCAGGTGACATCTCATGGAGGGTCTCCATCTGGTCTGCGAGGTCTCAGGGCTTTGTGGACTTTTTCAAATGCTATGGGTGGTTCTGGGGGTCGGTCCAGGTGGCTGTTGAAGATTGGTTGCAGACCTGTGGGGATACTTTCTGGCTTTTCTGATACAGTAGGACCTCTGAATTGCAAATGTTTGTCCATTACCAAGGTCTTCCATGTGCCTTTGCATGTGGACCCCGTGCTGGTCATTTTACCTCAACAAATAGTAAGTTGTACTGCACAGAACATCTATGTTATTACCTTCTGGATTCAAAACATATGTTTTCTCGTCAACTACTGGAACACCTTCTCTCTGTTAGGAAAGGGAAATGAATAACAAATATTACAATGGGATAAACTCTAACGGAATGGCATTTAGATTGTTATAGCACTGTGTGTATCATTAACAATTGCCCTATTTTCAATAAAATCCTTGTTTTCAATTTTTTTTCATCCTTTGCTGCATCTCAGTGCTGCTGATCTCCTGCAGCCCATTTCATGTACTTCTTTACATTTGATATTCACTTCATGTGCCGGTCTACATGCTCTCCAGTTATGGCTTCATGGCATACACTATATTGCCAAAAGTGTTGGGACTCCGGCCTTTACACGCACATGAACTTTTATGGCATCCCAGTCTTACTCCGTAGGGTTCAATATTAAGTTGGCTCCGCCCTTTGCCTCTATAACAGCTTCAACTCTTCTGGGAAGACGACCACAAGGTTTAGGAGTGTGTCTATGGGAATGTTTGACCATTTGTGAGGTCAGGTACTGATGTTGGACGAGAAGGCCGGGCTCGCAATCTCCTCTCTAATTCATCCCAAAGGTGTTCTATGGGGTTGAGGTCAGGACTCTGTGCAGGCCAGTCAAGTTCCTCCACCCCAAACTCCCCCATCCATGTCTTTATGGACCTTGCTTTGTGCACTGGTGCACAGTCATGTTGGAACAGGAAGGGGCCATCCTCAAACAAGCCTTTGTAATTTACCTTGGTCTGGCTGCTTGTAGTCTGTATAGGAAGCCCATGTGACAAAGCAGGAGAAGAACTGGGAGACAGGGGCAGGGAGTGGTCACCTTATAACAAGAAGCGCCTGAACAATGACCTTCATGGGAGGATCACCAGGTATTATTTTAATGAAAGCAGCAGAATTACAATGACTTTTGGACAGTACGAGTTCAAATCTATGCTCCTGCTATGTGTTGTCCAAAAAGATTTCATGGCCTTTTTAGACCTTTCACACACTTTGAAGGAACTCATGCCCGCAGCGACCTACTAACTGGACAAGATCCTTGTTCGGTGGAGGAGGAATGAGGAGAAGACTTCCTCTGGGGAGGTAAATCAGGACTGTGAAACAGTTATCAAAGCCTGCAATACTACTGGGCACCACTGGAAGGAGACTCACCCAGAGTTAGCTGGCAGGACACACGCGGAAAGATACAAATCTTTGGTACAATCTGGTGTCCTCTAAGGGCTGTGGAGTCGCCAAGTGATTCTCCCACACGTCTGAGATACTTTTGAGAGCTTCCTCAAGCTGTTCTATGAGCTAGAATCACTGCGTGATCACTTTTCTCGCTGGTCACACAACATACATTACATTTTAGGGTTGCTTGCCACCACCTGCAGTTTGTCAGCTGGTTGGTCTACTAAAGAAACCATACACACAGATTCCTTCCTGGCAGATACCATAGCTTCCATACACCAACACTAATCTGCATGCAATCAGATTGGTCAGCCTGTACAATGTCAACCCAACTGCTGAAATTACAGAGGCCTTGAGGGTGCAGCCACATAATGCAATTTCATTCAGTTTAACAACAAACTTACAAGCAAGCATACAGGTACTGGTAATATAAACAATCTCTCTGAGAGTATGACAATCCTGCTTCTCACCTCGATATGAAGCACTTTTTTCACACCATCAGATACGCCAACCGGGCCCCGGGCCATGATAGTAATGGTCGGATTTTCCTTTCCGATGGGAACCACAGAGAATGGGATGGAGAGAGCTGACTTTTTGGCCACAGTTACAATCTTCCCTTTGGTCCCTCCATCAGATGTGCTGGGCGTACACACTCCTTCTGTTGTGTCCATGAACACTCTCACCTGTTCCAGGAGAGAAGAGCAAAGAAGCCGAAGGATTTCAATCTTGTGTACCTTTCATAACAACCCATGTTTGTTCTTCATAGGTACTATTATTACATAGGTACATTATTACTGCATAGGTATTATTGTGAATGTGGAACACAATTTGCGTTATTACTTTATATTGTATATTACGCTTGTTAATCCTACAAAAACTCCCCCAAGGGAAGTACACACACCAGGAATCATAAATACCAACCTAATACAAACATCACTTTATTACAGAATGACTTCTCATTAAACATTACAAAATTAAAAACAGGTAAAACCTGATTAATATTATAGCTGTAAAAAATAAGTCAAGGCAACTGGACTTGCTGTATTTATCTTTTTCTTTTTCCTTTAGATAAAGGTATGATTACTATTGATAGGTCTTTGGTGCCCATCATTCTTTCCCCTGTTTTTTGTATAAGTTTTTTATTAACATTGTACCCAGGTTTACTCGAATGATAACAGGCCCTGAAATTCTTGTAGGGTAGTGAAAGAGAGAGCAACCATTACAGACATATGGAAGATGTTTTGTGAGGTTGTTTTAAAAAATGGGGGGCGGCGCAAGAGGAAGCGCTGCCTGCTGTCAGGATGGCAGAGCGGTGAGGGGGAGAGAAGCCGTGCCCGCAGCTGTCAGGATGGCCGAAAACTACTAATTGTAGTTTGACATTTATTGTTTACCTTCTGTTGTTTTATTTGATAAGGATACTTATATTGTGCCGACAAGTTTAATACCTTTGAATAAAAGTTTTATTTTTATCATACTTTTTAATATGTTTTTTTGCGGCTTAACAAAATAGGAGTCTTTAAATGGTTCGGATATTGGGAAAAATGGGTGTGGTTACGGGGGGTGGCCACTAAAGGGTGTGGTCACTTAGGGGTGTGGTCACTGAGGGGCGCTGTAAAGCTTTCTCGCACAGGGCGCCTAAAGGCCTAAGGCCGGCCCTGCGGATTAGGGCTCCAGTTAACTGCTCCCCTTCCCTCCCAAACAAACCACTAAACATGAGCAGATATTTCACTGCTTGCTTTCCGTATGCGATCTGTACAAGCCACATTTTTCAGGCAATTTCTACCACTTCTAAACTACCTCATGCAAAAACACCTGCACAAATCAGGGCAACAATGAAACAACTGAAACTGTTGCTGGTAGGATCTTTTAAACCATATGAACATCTGCATGAGGCTGGCTGAAAGTGGTTGAAACTGTCTAAACATTGTGTGTGTGTGGTCAGTATTAATGAAAGGTTTGCACCGGTACTCCACTCACCCTCAGGTCGTGGTTTTCAAAGTTATACAGTACGGGTCTCAGCTCAATCTGTTCAAATCTCTTCACCGTCAATGGAACTCTCAAGTGAATGTGGAACGGCTTGAAAACTTTCACCTTCACCGGGTCAGCCACACAAAACCCTGAAAACCGAGAGATAATCCGGGTAATACCAATGAAGAGTTTCAATGGAGAAGAGGAGACTCATGTATGTACGGCAGATATTTAATAAAAACATAACCAAAGGTATATCAATACTCAACCTGACATTGGCCATGTGATCTCCACTGGGGGACTTTTACCATTTTTAAAGATATTGAAGGGAATTATCAAAACTGGAGCAGACAAAATCTGGAGCAGCTGTGCACGGCAACCAATCAGCTTCTCTCTTTCATTTTCAAATCTTAACCTAACAAGCTGATTGGTTGCCATGCACAGCTGCTCCAGATTTTGTCTGCTCCAGTTTTGATAAATTCCCCCCATTGTGTCCACAGGCCAGAATGAATCAACGAAGTAAGATTTTTTTCTCACCTTTTCCTGTAGACATTCCGACTGCTTGGATCTCCCATGTGGTGATAGAATCTGGGACTGGGACAGTTTCACTAGAAAAAATTAAGTCAAAAAATGTTTTTTTCTCTCAGTATTTACTTTCTGCAGTTGATAATCTTACAGACTGGATCATTGGCATACTAGACTAATAACTGGACCACATACTGACCATTTGATACCAAGGAGAGTTTTTAACACTGTGATACCAATGACAGTCTGTATATTCTTCATTGTCTAGCAGTATCTGACTGTACATTGTTCATTGCAGTGTTATATTGTCCATCAATTATGCTAAATATGTATGCCATATGGCAGTTTTGGGCTATGTGTGAGCACCATAAGCCATTAAGAAGCCTAAAGGAGAACTATGGGGTCAGGGGTTTTCCCCATAGTTCTCCTAAGGGTCACGGGAGAAAACAAACTAGCGTTTCCCCGTGACCGACAGCTCAGTATACTGCGAGCTACAGCTCGAGTGACAGTCACGGCTCTCTGCGGGGATAGATCGAGAAGTGAGCGAACGCCGGTATGTGTTCCCTCACTTCCTGATCTATTGAGTTTTGACATTAGGTAGGATACAAAATACAGTAATCATTACTGAAGTGCACACAATAGAGAAACATGAAGACAGTGGTTATTGTCAAATGGCTCAAAGTTATGATCATATTGTCGCCAGGTTCCTCAAGACGGGTGTATATCCAAGGGGAAGAGGACCACCCGGATAAGGGAATCCGGAGAGTAGTAGTCCAGGGGGCAAGGAGGTAAAGAAAGAGAAAGGGGGAGAAGAGATGGAGGGAAGAGGGAGGCACTGGGTTTGTCCGGAATGGGCCCTTTTGACGTGGGACCTAGAAGACTGAGAGGCTATCTGGGGCTAGGGACTGCATGTGGTGTTTTAATAGGACCTTTAGACATATTTATTAGTACGTTTTGTGACACCACACACCCTTGCTTGTCTATTGCTATTTAAAATTGTATAATATATATAATACATTTAGAATATATAATATACATTTTAATGATAACATATTTATATTCCTTGCTTGCTTATTTATATGTCTATTTACATGCTTGATACACAATTAGGGATGCACCGATAACGAGTGTTTGGGTGAGTACTCGTACTCGCCCAAATGCTCCGATACCTAGCACGAGTACTTCCTGTATCAGGAAGCCGGGCAGCGCATCATTACACGCTGCCCGATTTCCTGATTGGCCCGGAAACGGCTCAATGCTCTCTCGTCACTTGTGATGAGAGAGCATGGAGCCGATTTCCAGGCCAATCAGGAAGCCAGGTAGCGTGTAATGACGCACTGCCTGGCTTCCCGATTGGTCAGGAAGCTAGCAAATCCGGAAGCCGGGCGCTGTGTAATGACGCAGCGCCAGCATTCTGATTGGCCGGAAAGGCAGCGTCATGCTCCCTCGTCATCTCATGAATCATAATATTAAGAAACTGACCTTAAATCATTCGTTTGTATTGCTTTAGAAAAAATGTGACCTGTCCCTTTAAGAAAAAGTATCGGTAATTGGTATCGGTGAGTACTTGATCAAAAGTATCGGTATCCGTACTCGGTCGTAAAAAAGTGGTATCGGTGCATCCCTATACACAATAGAATGATACACCAGTTGGGTGGGATTTGGAATGTTCTTTAAATGTAAAAATGTACCGCTTTCACGAGAACAGGAATAGAGGGGAAATGTTGCCATGAGGACACCTGCTTTGCATTTCCTTGGCTTTGGAGAGATTTTCTCTATTGGCTCCATAGTACCTGCAGCTACAGAGATCAGTTAGGGCTTGTTTTCAAGCTCATTTACTACACGGTAAAATTCTTGAATGTCCATGGCCTGGCCACAGGTTCACTTTAAGGAATTTTTATAAGCGCCAGTTGGATTTTCTATTGAGAGATTGCTGAATGAGTCAGCTGTTGTTGGGAAAAAATAAACCCCGCTTTGCTTTTTTCTTCAGTTGGTCATCTCCAAAACCTTCACAGATTTGTTTAGGAAAGCCAATAATTTTTCGTGTTCTGTGTAATAAAAATGGTGATACTTACGTGTACTTTTGGTTCACTGTGACCGTTTTCCATAACCAGCTTTCCGGGAAGTTTGAGCGAACTTGAACCTCACTTTCATCTGTGAAATCCTTTTCATCTTTATCATCTCCCTGCGCTGTTGAAAAACACAATTTTCAGAAAATATAAACCTAAAAGAATGATGGCGAGCAAAATGTCAAATACCAAGCGCAGGGGTGTGCTGCTATGTATGGTGTATGGTTAATACATCGTCAGTCTTTGAGGGGAAGGTGCGTTCGGTTAAAAGTAAGAGCAGCGGGTGGGGGGGAAGTGGAGGCAGATTGGTGGGGGTAATTCCTTTTTCCCAAATTTGCCTGGGTACCTGGAATTAGCCTTTAATACTATTTTAAGTTCCCGTGGTCCTTCCTAATATGTTTTATTTCTCAGACCCTTACCATTTTTGTTGCCGGTCTCTGGACTCATTCTGTCTCATCACTGTCTTTTTTGTAAGTGAGGTCACAAGAACTGGACACAGTAATTAAAGATATACAGTAAATGGGGAATCAGGGCACCCTTCCTCCTGCTGGAGATCCCTCTAGTGATAACTAATGTAGCCCTGTTGTGGTATCAGCTCCTTTAAGAGAAAAGATATTGCAGCTGTAGGTGGAGCCAGAGAGCACAGTCTTGTGGGGATCCTGGGCACAGCTGAGGAGGAATTATAAATTGCAATGTGTACCTGAACTACATTTCCCAGGGTGCTACAGGAGAGAGGGGAAGTGAACTCTTAGTGCCAAAGGTTGCTGGCCTCAGTCTGGTGTGAGGGGACAGAGAAGGCAGACTGCTGTTTCTAGTGTGGTGCAGCCAGCGTGTGGAGAGACTGTGCCCACTTGTCACAGGTGCAGTCCTGAAGTGGCATCTGCTACACAGAGTAAAGCGCTGCTTGTTCCTGCCTGGAAGGCGATCATCTGAGGCTGCGGGTGAGGTGCCATCCTGCTGAGAGGACATTGCGGGCAGCGACTCGGCCCGCACGGACGGCAAATCTGACGACCGGAACCCCTGATGACATCAAACTTCAGCTCCTATATACTGTTCTTCACCACAGAAGATAATTGCTGACATCCCTGCCGGCTACAGACGGACATCTACCTCCGTGTATGGGTGAGAGTCCTCCGGCCTGTTGTCATTAACAATATACACAGATTTTCTACCATTTGTATTGGGCCCCAACGTTGGCTAGCTGAAGAAACTACCACTGGCAAGTGGAAGAAACTACCACTGGCCAGTGGGTTAGGTACCCGAGTACATTGGGACTAAGTTTGTATATAGTTTGACTACTGTTCAGCAAATTTACAGTTGGAATCACTGCATTGGCAGTTTATTACGGTTGTGCTTATGTCTCATGTATAGGGCTGCAGCTAACGATTATTTTTTTATAATTGATTAGTTAGCTGATTATTAACTTCGATTAATCGGATAAAATTTAAAAATATTAATATTGCACAGGAACGGAGGGCATTTCAGTACCCTGTGTTCCAGTACTGGCGATCACACTGCGGACGGGAGGTGCATTTGGGATGCAGCAAAATTTGTCAGACCGAAACTTAAAATGACGTTTCCCACCTTTTATTTATATACATACAATTATTAAAAAGATATGTATATATCTTTTTAATAATTGTATGTATTATATTAGACATTTTAATTAGGTTCATGGTTTTTAAATAATGTGAGCTGTAAAAATAAGCCAATATAATAAACAAAACAACCTTTTATTAAACCACTTCCAGGCCACAATAGTCTATAGACGGCGGGCCGTTAAAGTGGTTAAAACAAGAACACGGCTGCTGCAGCAGCCGTGTTCTTGGTACTGCTTTTAACAGCAGGCGATGGATGTTAATGTACAAGCAATCCGGCGTCTGTACAGGTGCCGGGGATCGTTTGTACCATGCGGCGGCGGCCCCCCCCGCCTCTAGTGATAACTAAAGATCTGTATAGGAGACGCAAGACCTCCTTTATCCTGCTAGTGATCCCTCTAGTGATGTGACTCCGAATTCTATTAAGCCCTTAGCCCAAAGTTAGAGCTACATTTGCACCCCAAAACACACAAAAAACTAGAAGAACCAGCCCAAATACTCAAAAGCTGCCTGAAGAACTTTTCAGCCAAAACTAGCATTAGAAGAGACAGAAACATCATCTTTATAAAACCTAGCAAAAATATAGAAAACAAAGAAAAGAAGTTCCAAAACCAAAAAAAGAAAGCAACGACCAGCGCCAAAAAGAACCCTCCTGTGGCCCAAACGACTTCTTGGAATCCAGCACGGCTGCCCCGTTACATATAAGGGATCCTGAACACTGCATAGAAACATAAGAAAACATGGGGCGTCTGACCTGGTGCAATAATCCTTTTTAATGGTAAATTCAAGTACAATAAGATATACTCAAAAGGGAGCAAAATATAAACATCAAATGGACTGGTAGTCCTCAATAAATATACTGCTGTGGAGATGAATGAAAATGATCCAGGAGCTCTGCTATGCCGCAGAGTCACGCTACCTCATGCTAACTGCGCTTCCGGGGACACTCTCCCTTCTTCAAAGAAAAGAAACAGCCTGTAGATCTATTAGTCATATGACTGCTCAGTACAACTTTTGGCTCACCCTTTTATGTGCTCTTTTATTTCCAGCTCTATGCCTGACGCATGCCTGACTTTTTGATCCCAAAGGATCCTCCACACTATCATACATGCGTTAAGATGCATTGGGTTTCCTTGGCTATTAGATGAAAAAACTGAATTGAATTGACTTGAATGGCCAAATACAGGTCATTGTATCGAAAATGCAGATTTACACATTAAAACAAGGAACCCTAAAATAAAAACAAAATTCACCTGCCATTTTTGCACCATCAGCAGAGCAGCACAGTGGCTAAGTGGTTAGAACTTCCATCTTGCAGCAGTGAGGTCCCTGGTTGAAATCCATCACGGTGTTTGCATGTGCTTGTATGGGTTTCTTCCTACACTTCAAAGACATGCTGGTAGAGTAATTGGCTCCTCTCTAGTAAGTGGCCCTAGTATGTGCATGTATGCCTGTGAGATAGGGGCCGTGGACTGTAAGCTCCTTGGGGCAGGGACTGATGTGAATGTACAGTATGTGTAGAGCGCTGTGTAAATTGGCAGTGCCATATAAATGCCTGTAATAAATAAAATGAAATCAACAGTTCTTACTCCTCCCGAAGTTAGTATTCCTCCTCTTCTCGAGGGTGATCCTCTTGCGCAGATCCTCGGCATATTGGCAGCAGTCTAGGAAGGCTTTTCTGCAGTCCTCACTTTTGACACGCTTGGCTCTGATGTCACAATTTCTCTCCATGTGAGTAGGAGGGAGCACAATGCCGTTGTTGCAACATTTTTTCAGCTCTAGAGAATAGTTGTCGGCTGCAGAGATGAAAGAAAAGAAAAATGATTTGTTGTATCATGCTGATCCCATGGATCCCATCTGTGTTTCTGGGTCACGCACAGTGGCAGAGCTAAGGAACAAAGGGCCCTGGTGCAAGATTTTTTTTTTGGCCCCCCCCCCATAAACCCACAAACACAGCGCTCTCCTTTCGCAGCGCTCGGCCGGCTGTCACTTTCTCTCCTCCCCGCTGGGACACAGAGCAGCGCCCAGCGGGGAGAAAAGAAAGCAGGGATGTGCCGCTGTTTCGGCAGAAAGATTGCACTTTCGGCATTATGCCAAAAGTGCCATTTCCGGCCAATATGTTTTGGCGGCCGATATATCGGTGCATCCCTAATATTTACAGCAATGCAGAATGACACATGATATAGAGGACTACACATCCCAGCAATACTTTATATAACAATAGCATTTCTGTATAAAGTACTGCTGAGATTTGTAGTCCTCAGCAGGCGATTGCTTGTAAGTCATACAGCAATCGCCTGCTGATAAAAGCGGTACCAAGAGCGCGGCTGCCGAAGCAGCCGTGTTCTTGTTTTAACCACTTCTGCAGGCCACTGTCTATAGACGTACTGCGACCCAGAAGTGGTTAAAGTGACATTAAAGTCAGTTTTTTTTATCCCTCCTCCCAATGTTAATGTCAGCACTCACCTTAACGGGAGTGTCGGATGAACGGATGATCCGACACTCCCGGCGGAGAGACCAGGGGCCCGCCGGGCGCTGGATACTGATCCGGCGGCCGGCATCTTGCTTGGGCCCCCCCAGAGCCTGAGGCCCCGGGCGCCGGCACCGCCTGCACCGGCGGTAGTTCCGCCACTGGTCACGCACATGAAACACATGAGCAGACCAGAAGTTCTGACTTTACTCCATGTTTCCTGATCTACCACATGTTGCACGTCTGTGACTCAAAATACTAAAGCCAGAGACAGCCAGGGCCAGGCCAACAAACACAACCTATATACTTCTTTCAGTGCAGGTTCTTAAAGTGAACTTATGTTCCCCCTAGCTATCCTACACTGCAGACAGTTATGCTCAAGAGGCTCCTACAGGTGCCTACATGATTTTTTTTAAAGTGTTGGTTCACCTTTTCAGAACCCTTCCCTTCCCCCAGTCTCCACTGCACTTATCTGCATTGATGGCCATGGCCTACCGCACACACCAGCCCATATGACAGCCTCGGCATTCAAAAACTTCATTACACTGCCCCAGAGGCTGTATGGCAACATAATGCTTGCAGTGGGGAGTGGTCATTGGTCAGTGGTGTGTCAGAAGAAAGAATAGACTTTCTAGACTTTCTGTGGTCAGTGTGGTCACATGGCCATGCTGACCAATGACTACTCCACATTGCAAGCATTTTTGTTGCCATACAGCCTCCGGGGCTGAATAGTGAAGTTTTGTGCCAGGATTATTATATGGGCTGGTGTAGGAGAAAGGATATAGTCATCATTGCAGATAAGTGCAGCAGGTAAGGAGAAAGTGTGTGTGTATGTGTGTGGGGGGGGCGGGTTTGACCCAAAACCCTTTAAATTTGCCCTTTACGTTTTAACCCTTCTTCTCTCTACTACAATACTCCCAATGTAGAGGTTTTCCATCATTTCCTGAGCTGACAGGAAGTGGAAAGAAATCTTTACAATGGGGACATAGACAACCTGACCGAGGCCATAACCGTTGCCTTCTCTATCCAAAACAAAATACAATGTTTTGGCTGGAGTTAATACATCTCCTTCACCGCGTTCAGTATCTCTTTACCTTTCTGTCTGGTGAGTGCTGTGAAGTCTATCGATCTTTTCTTCCTCTGAGAAACCTTGCAGCCTAATTCTTAAAAATAAAAGACATAAATAAGTCACTTTTAGTAATAACTATGTCAATACCATCATGAGATCCAGATCTGGTGAAATGGGAAGCTGAAGTTATATGCAGCTCTCAACTTTGGGAAATATATATGGTTCAGCTCCACCCATTCTTCCTCCGAAGCCTGTCTATTGGTCCTTAGATATGATTAAAGGAAAAGTCACGATTTGCATATACGTAACGTCAGCTGATTATAACACTGGATTTATAAATTACATTGACTTGGAAGGTAACCTCGGATTGTGTATGTTTTTCTTTCACTAAATTTTTCTTAGTTTTCAAACATGTGTACACCAATGCAGGTGACAAGGCTAGTGAGCTGACGCAGCAGCCGCTGTAGTCAAAAGGAGAGCATTCGGCGGGCTGGGGGATGCCTCACCCAGCACAGAAGGCACGGCACGTCACTGCTACACTCTCCGACTAAGGTGTGGGAAAGGGGGAAAACAGTATTGAGAGGAAACGCGAGATGAGAAAGCGTTAAGAGTTAGAAAGGGAAGAAGAGAGAAAAGTAGCAATAAAAGGTTTAGAGGCTCAGCGAGAGAGACAAGTAAAAGAGAAGACATCAAGGGAGGGGACTCCCCAAACGACAATCATTCAATATGGAAAAGACAGCAAAGCTGCGTCACAATAATGTGGGCCAGTATACGTTATCCAAGGTCTCCGAATTGTCTAAAACTTATCATGGGAATCCGCTAAAATTGCTGATCATTTTTCGTTAATCATAGTGTTTGTAATTCAATTCTTCAGTTCCGAGAAATTAAGGACCAAAGACTTCCAGAACCTAGAAATGGTTTGTATAGTAGTAATGAAAATATAGGTAATTAAAATCTGCTGATGTTTTGTTACCTTTGGAAAGGGTTTGTGCAATAAGGTTTCCCATGGGTTTTGAGGTGGGCTGTGCGGGTTCTATGGAATGTACGGGGTTTCAAGTGGGCTCTGCAGGGTGTCAGGTGGGCTGTGCAGGGTCTGTGGTATGTGCGGGGTCCTAAGGGGGCTGTGCGGGGTATCTGGGCTGTGTGGGGTCTCAGCTTGGCTCTGCAAAGTCTCAGGTGGGCTCTACAGGGTGTCAATAACAATAGTGGTGCCACCATCCTAGTTTTGCAGTGTTGCAGGTGTGTGAATCCCAAAACTGGCTCAACAGAAAACCAAACATTTTTGGCGGGTAAAGTTTCAGGGTCCATTCACACCAAAGCTTTCCACTGTGATGCGTTATGCCACGCATAACAGTTCTTGCATTATGGCAGCCCATTCACAATCAATGGCTTCAGTCAACAGCTAAATGCACCATTCAAATACATACTTTGAGGGCCCGTTTGCACTTGTGTGTTGTGGTTGATGCACCTTGCCACTATGCATGACAACATACCTGCCCTATGTGTGGTGCGTTGCGGCAACGCGCATTAAGGCATATGTTTTAGCACGCGTTGCCACAACACGAGTGTGAATGGGCCCTCAATGTATGAAGCAGAAGCAGCTTCTCCAGTAACTAGGACTAAGGCCCAGTTTGGGGTGCTGGAACATGTAAGCCTATTGCTTCTCCAGTAAATTCTCACCACTCAAGTCACTGTAGCCGAATGAAGAGACAAAGGCCACGCCGGCGTCCATGAAGACTGATTTGGAATCCTTCCCTCCTCCAGGGCTGCAGCCCAGGTCATAGTCGTTCATGGCCTTGAATACCTTACGGGTAAGAGAAGAATGAGAAATAGTATTTATCATAGGACTTAAAACCAAACATGTAGACCATTCCTTCTATTCTGTAGAAGGCCAAGGTGACTTGGACTAGCCCTTCCCCAACCCACTTGTACTTACTGTCATAGCGCTCCCCCACTGCTCTGTTCCTGTCTGTCCCAGGATGCCGTCCCGGGGCCTTAGCGGCTAATAAATAATGAGGCCCCTAGACGCTGTGGAAGTCCTCCTTCAATAAGCCAACTATAGATTTTGCACCCCCCCCAAGTATGTCATGGTTCTTAACTTTATCCTTATTTTGGGTAATGTCGCCAACTTCAGGTGGTGGACAGTATTATCATATGATTTAAAGTAGTATTAAGTAGTATCCAGATCAATCAAATATACATTGCCAGGCAAAGTATTTACAGTATTTAAATTTTTTCACAAACACTTACACTCATCATGTTTCTTAACAGCTTCAACTCTCACAGCTTGGCTTCCCTGAACTTCCCTGTACAAGATCACAAAGGACAGAGCATAGTCTCCAGCAGATATCCATCTACTAGTTTGGAAGAAGGAGGAGAGGGGAATGGATTGCCTTGCTGTGCCTGTGTGTTTGTGGAGGCACACACAGCTTGCTAGCACACACAAGCAATGGCTCCATAGGACCCTGCAAGGGAAAGAAGCCCCCCTAAAATAGGATATCAGGGCCAGTGCTCAGAGGGTCACCTGAACTTTTAAACATCAGGGAGCAGCATCCATTGTAAGTGAGTCAATCAGCATTTGAAAAAGCCTTCTTTTTTCACATGCGAGTGTTTAGTGTCATTACCATTAGTTATGTTTTATTGGGGATTGTTTTATAGGGAAGTGTTGGCGGCCATTTAAAATCCGTGTATAGTCTTTTCAATGGTTTATTACATTTCCCTATCGGAAAAGTTTTCCCAAAATCTGCGGTAGGGACAGGAGGTTTTCACTTAAACAGCAGCATTCCGAAGAATAAGTGTGAAGGGTGAGAGCACCATAAAAATATAGATAGTCCAGTATAAATGTATCAATCTTGTTGGAAAATCAGTAACAGCCAACATGTTTCGAAGGGCTCACAACTCCCCGTTTATCAGGGTTCAGTACTCCTCGGCTCGCGCCTGACTCCAAAACTAAGGGTAGAACTTGTGAAAAGGAGGCATGTCTGCACTGGTCAGGGCGTGAGCCCTTATGGAGGGGAAGTTGTGAGCAGTAGAAACGCGTTGGTGTCAAGGTTCCACCCTGACTTATCTGGTTTGCAGCATTCTGGTGTGGCTTCCATTTTACCCACCTGTGATTCCTCCTTTGCCTGAGCAGATTCTGTAACGTTGCTCACTACTTCCAGGCTCCCCCTTATGGCCAGACAGGAGAGCATCATCTGAGAGAGTCAGATGGGAGTTTCCTGTCTCTGAGTGATGATGTCACACCTCTCACTCTATAAACCACTTAGTCCACTCTTACCTGCTAGTGCATTCCTGCTGCTCTGAGTACTCTGATTCTGTGTATGACCCGATCCTGGCTTGTTCCTGACAACACTGATTTCCTGGTTTCTGCTCCTGGTTTGTTCCTGACGAAGCTGATCTCCATGTTCCTGAGCTGGCTTGTACTACTACCCACTCCGGTTCCTGAACTTGGCTTGTTCCGGTTTATGATTTTTTGCTTGCTCCTGTGGACACCGTTCTTAATAAATGTTTTAACTAGCAGCTTATGCGTGTGCACTAGTGACTAGTGACTGCACTAGTGACTGGTTGTAGGTTAAGGGATATAGGATTTCATTCATTTAAGGCTCCACAGGTGCCATTGGAGTATACCAAAATAACAGCTTATGCGTGTCTGGTTTTCTTTGTGCTCTGACAATTGGCTGTTACCTACTGACTTTTCATCAAGATTGATACACTTATACTGGACTAACTATATTTTTGTGGTGTACTCATTATTTACAGTTTCTTTTTTGGGATTTCTTCGGGACCCATGGCATACCCTAGAGGCCTAGATGATACGGAGTTGCCTTTTGAGACTTGAAATCACACCAGATCACCTATATCTGTGAGTCCAGCACTCCACCAATGTCTACTTTGAACTACAGTATGATTCCAAGAGGAAATGTCACCATTTTGAAGGTTGGCCGATGAGGTCTGCAACCTTTCTACTATAATACCCAAACAGCTGCAGCACGGAAGAAGTCTTGTGAGAAGAAAGAAAAGGACATAAGATTGTAATATGAGTAGATACCAAAAGATGACTGCCCAGATCGTCACCTTGCCAGGGGTCAGCTTGCCCTTGGAATTCACAAGGTACACGGCGGTGTCCACCGCAGATAAGGACACTGTTGTTACTTCATCTGTTTCCATTGTTAGCTTGAATTGTGACCCCGGGAGAAGGCTGTTCTTTACATCCGTCCTAATTTGTATCTGTAACATAAAGATACATCATTCAAACCCATCTGAGGTGTCACAGAATTGTATCCCTGTACAGTCCTGCACACCACATGTGAACGATTTCTGCTTGGAAATGTTTAAAAAGTATATTTGTAATCTTAGTGTAAATGTGGCTTCCTGTACTCACACTGCAGAGCTGAGTAACAGCCACACCCCTGATGACACAGACACAGGAAAGGGGAGGGGGTGTGTCTGACCAGGTCTGTTACTGAGTGCTAATTACTGAGCGCGCTGGGTGCATTGTAACAAGAAACTGGAGGTAACAATATACAAATGGAAGTTGTTAGTACAAAAGTTTATCTACTTCTATCACCATAATTGGGTGTTCATGAGCCTCGTCAGGATAAACTATAAAATCACCAGTGATCTTGAGTAAATTCAACTGCATGCAGCAGAATTTCCTGGACTAATGAATACAAAGCAGTTACTGCCCAGGGAGGATTATCAATTATAGGTTAATATGGATGTGGGCACAGTGCCCGGGCAAGTCCTTTAACACCCAAGGGAGCATTCCAAAATCCACCTCTCCCCCCCAAAGGTTGAGATTGATAGAGCTTGCACATTGTACAGTGGCCAGGCCAGCGAAGGGTGCAAAAATGTCCACCGGTCCTAGTGATGCCACCTTTTGTTTCCAAGACAACTGAAAAGGGTTTGGTGGAGGTGTTTGCATCCATAATATTATTTTTCCATTCCTCTAGCTCAGTTTTACAGCCCCGGAATAAATGTATGCATTTCTTAACAAGCACACACAGCTAAATTATGCAGAAAATGTTGACCGTGGACGCAGGATTATCTACTTTGATTTTAGGCAGCTGAATGCAGCGCAAGATTATGAAGCACAATGCTGCTGCCTGCACGGGCCCATAATATACGACACTGCTGCGTAAAAAAACTATACGCTGTATGGATGTGAACACAGGGTTTTTTACGCCCATGTACATGAGCCCTTATGATGCATTGGAATCATGTTTCTGGTGCAAACGATTTAAAAAAAAAAAAATCAGCGCTACAAAAACAAATGAACACAAATTCAAAAGTATGAAAAAAACAACAAAGAAAAAAAAACAGTTGCTGAGGGAGGAGGAGCCGGCGGCTGTCAATGACCATGAGCTGTACAGGGTGAGCTGTTCTCCCTGTGTAATCTTCCAGATGGAGCTGTCAGTTTGACAGCTTTGTCATATACAGGGGAGGCAGCCAGGCAATGTGGAGGAAGCGATACCCCCCATCATGGTGCCCGAGGCGGGCAGGTCTTCTGTACCTACCTCGGCCCAGGGATGCTTTTGCACATTTACCAAGAAATATAGTGTTTGGCCTCTCAGTCCCTTCCAATAACAGTCATGGCCAGCATTCCCCATCCTGCAGTGTGCCAGAATTACCTTGCCTTCACAGACATCGCTGACGTCTACCCACACTGAGTTGGCTACAATCTCGGAGTCCAGGTAGTAATAGGCGATGATGCGGAAGGAGGGAACCATTTTGTTCGAAACCGGAAAGGAAAATGCCATGAATTCACTTTTCTCTATGAACCTCAAATCCAGGATCTGACCTTTGTTGAGCACCTAAAGAAAGAAAGAAAGAAAGAAAGAAAGAAAGAGAACATAAAGAATCACACTTCATGTAAATCAGCATTAAAGCAGAACCCCGGCTTTAATAATATACAATATATACATATAGTTACATTGGCCCAGTTTGGTCACAGTGTAGATATATACCTGTATATATAGTAAGGCATTCTTTTGTTAAATTAGATGTAGACCCTAAATGGATAATATTACCAGCCCTTAGATTTGGTGGCAGCATTCATTTTCTTTTTTTCAAGTAAGTATCTTTTTTGCAGTTCCCCTCCTCCTTAGGGCTTGTTCACACCAACTGTGGTGCGTTCCAGAGCGGGAGCTGATGGAATGTACCGCAATCGCTCACAAAACTTCCCCCTTCGTTCCGGGGGCAGGAGGGCGCGTAGCCACGCCCCCGTCGGCAGTGCAATCGTACGCGTGGCAAAACATTGCCTGCGTTCCATTCCACTGCAAACGCAAAAAATGCTGCATGCTCTATTTTTTGCGTTTGCAGTGAAATGGAACGGAGGAAATGTTTTGCCATGCGTTCGATCACACTGCGGGCGGGGGGTGTGGCTGCGGTGCCATTGACTAAAATGCACCGCCACGCCCCCTGCTGCCACAGAACGAAGGGGGAAGTTTTGTGAGCGATTGCGCTGCCTTCCAGCAGCTCCCGCTCTAGAGCGCAACGCAGTTGGTGTGAACAAGCCCTTATGTAATGGAGAAGAGAGGAGGAGCCATTTTTGGGTTTAGATATGCTTTAACCCTTTCACTGCACTTTTACTTACCTGATTCCTGCTCCCCCAGCAGTTAGCACTCACTTTGTCTCCCATTACGCTCCGCTTGTGAACTGTCCCTTGGTGTCCTATATCATATATGTACAATAAGGGACTACGGGGCCTGCATTGTATGTGATGACATCAGTGGGCCTCTCACAGTTGGAGTGTAGTGGGGAAGAGGCGATTTGGTAATGGGGATCAGGTACATAAAAGTCCCAGAGTTATCCTGTACAGTAATGAGCAGTTGACCCTTCCGGTGTGCCCCCGCATTACAAGGGGAGTCTTTTTTAACCTGGAGGTAGGCTTCAAGCACTGGTTGTTATGAACAATTTACATGGTTTTTATTTCTTTATTAAATACTGTTTCACTTATTTTTCATTTTATTTTGTTATCTCAGTACTTCTGAACTCTTCCAGTCTCCTTCAGCCACTTCCTGTCTATATGCACTTGCTCCTGTGTTGGCTGCTGATTATTACTCTGAACTGGCTTCCTGATAGCAGCAAACCATGCCTATGCAATATGTGTTGGCTGAGCTGCTTGTAGTCTCCACTGGGATCCCATTGGGGACATTTGCCTTCACTTCTTGTCCTGGCGACATAACAGGAAGTGAGAGGAACTCTCTGGAAAATCAGGGGAATTCCCCTCTTAGTTGTCACTGGAACTCTCTTCTCAGTGTCCCCATTGGAAGATTTACCCTTACCTCCTGTCCCGGTGTCTTCAGTGTGTTTGGGTGACAGGTACTCTTCGGTGAGGATAATCACTTTTGGGAACAAACATCTTACTCCTGAAAACAACATATATGTTCTCCGTTGTCCATGACCCACTCACCATGTAATAGACTCTCTGGACACGCTCATAGTGGGGAGTAACCACCTTCACAGTGACTTTAATGCTTTCTCCGGGGCTCAGAACCTGGATGGGAACTTCCATATGAAGGAAGCTGTTGGTTTTCGATGTGTAGGGAGTGAGAACTAATCTCTCTTCCTGCCGTCCATCACTTTCTTCCGTTCTGACCTGTTAAATATATATTGGTATAATAATCGTTCTATTGTGAAGAAATAACAACGTAAAGCACATTGGAAACTGAAACATTTGAATTTTGGATATAGTCAGGGAGGGTTAAAATTCAAGTTGGGTTTTTTTGCCACCTGTATCCCATTGGTAGAAATCTTCTTCTCTTCCTGTTCTATAGACATAACATACTCTGGGCTGGCTTCCTGATAGCAGCAAGCCTGCCTATGTGATGTATGTTGGCGTAGCTGCTTGTAGTCTGCAATAGGGCCCCGTTGGGCACATTTGCCTTCACTTCCTGTCTTGGGTACACAACAGGACGTTAGAGGAAATTGCTTCAAAGTGAGGGAAATCCCTTCAGTGACAAGTGTCCCCATTGGAGGATTTCCTCCCTGTTCCCGTTCTGGTGAACAGTTTTTTACATATTAACTTTCTGGCTCATTGACAATGGTCACCGGGGCCAGAAAATAGGTTGAATCTACCCAGAGGACACACAAACAGCAACAATAACTTCACAGGGGCTCTCACCCTTCCCTACTGTATCCTATATCTAGGACCGCACTGGTCCTATAGAGACACATGTGTTGCAATTCTCTCAGAGGCCACTAGATGTCTCCACACACCCACATTGCTACATTAGCTTTAACCATTCCACTGCCAAAGCGTTTTTTTGCACACGTTATAGTCAACATTTTAGGCCTGAAAATTACTTAAAACCCCCGAGAGTTACATATTTCCTGACAGAACAGAGACTCTAGAATAAAATGGCGGCAATTTTTACGTCGCATGATATTAGCATAACTCTTAATCGAACTCAAAATCTCAGTAAAAATTATACTTAAGTTAATTTTAGTGCCCAAAAACACGATATACCCATTTTATTAGTAAAATATAAAATATGAGGTCATGCTGAGTAAATAGATACCCAACATGCCAAGCTTAAAAACTGCGTGTGCCTGTGAAACAGCAACAAATCTGGTACCCCAAATTGTTCATAGGCAACACGTTAGATCCTGTACAGGTCATCAGTTTAGTTAACCATAAATATTGGCCCTAAAATGATTGCTCTCACTCTGGCACACACAGCGATACCCCCTATGTGATAGCTTGCTAAGTGGTGACCGGTTCTCTTTAAAGCAGACATCTCAACTCTTCCGGACGTTCTGGGAGTCTCCTGCTATAAGAGTAAACCTTTCACTGTTATCTGTTTTTTGTTCTGACATCGAGGCCGCCATCAGCCGTCAGAGAAAAAGAACAGCAAGAGTGAATAGCTAGGCTTCTATTGGCTATTTCAATTTGCAATAGCCAATAGCAGACTAGCTATTGCACCTGACCACTGCTGCTGTCAATCAGCAGAGTTGGACCAGAAGTTCTCCATCAGGTCCTCTTCTGCTAAAGGAGAGCAGCAGAGGGCGGGTGCAATAGCTAGTCTGCTATTGGCTATTGAAAATTGAAATAGCCAATAGCAATCTAGCTACTCATTCCTGTGCTATTTTTTTAAATTTATTTTTGGATTCTGATGGCAGCAGGTGTCAGAATACTAAAAAACAAACCAGTAGATGGCAAGGAAGCATTAGCTTCTTTGCTACCTGCCATCATTTTAGGGGGGTGCTCTCCCAGCGGATGGGGTGGCCGGGGGCACAGAGGGCACCTCCCTGAAAAAAATGACTTATTTCAGTTTGGGATCCCTGTTAATGTAACATTAGGCATCTATTAGACCCCTAGTGTCACCTTTTTAACTGCAAAGAAGCTATTCAAGTGCAAATCACGCTTGAATAGCTTCTTCCCCAGCTTCTCTAGCCGGGAACGATAGCTGGGGAACCAGAAGTGGTGCAATCAGTGTCAGTTCCAGCTCCATTCAGCAGGGGAGGAGATTGGTGAATGGATGTTGGCCGGTCTCTCTCCCCTCTACCCGCCTACACCTGGGATGGCGTTCTCGGGCCCGTAGGAGGGGCAGCGGAGTCTGGGAAGAAAGGCGGAAGGTGTCGGGCAGAGGGAGAGGGGGGCACACTTCACCAGGCCATGGAAGTGTTCTTAAAGGCAGTTCAGCTGCCAGAATCCCTTCTAGTGTAAAGTTGACTGTTGGCTTTACACAGCTAAATAGAGTCTGTTTAGAGGGGCCTGCTGCCAGCGACGTATGGCATACATCAAGATGGTGTCCTTGTGTCTGTAGGCATAGCAATCATCACTAGATCTTTGAGCAGAATGGTCATGTATGAACATGAACCCATACATGTACAAGGGGCACCGTTCTATCTGTCAGTTGGCCAACTAATCCTAAGAGAACCAAGGGAGGGATGAGCAAAACAGCTATATAGAATTTCTGAGAGTTACCATGAGGTCCAGGGTCTTCTCCTTGGCGTCTGTGTTGATCTGGAAGACCACCTTCCCATCCTCATCTGACTTGAAGGAGCTCAGTTGTGTGTTGGCTTTCAGAAGTTGAACCGTGACACCGCTTGCTGGCGTGCCGTCTGTATAGGTGACTTCTGCCTGCGTGATAATATAGTGGGAAACATTGTTACTCTTCCAGTGAAGGAAATGCAGGCAGAAAATAGGTCGGGTAACTAGTTATGGTTTATGCAAATTATAGCTGACCTAAGGTGGGACTTCCATAACTTGCTCACCTGTGAACAGCCATTGTGCACCAGTTGAATAAAGGCATTCTCTCTTCAAGTGGTGCAAAATACTTAGTCCCAGGTACCACTAGGGCCAGATTTACCATTAGGCAGAGGGGCACCGTGCAGGTACCTACTGTGCTTAATTCCCCATGTTGTGTCGAGATACAACACCGGTAATGGCAAGGAGGGTGTATTCTGCACAAAATGCACCCTCCTGCTCCAAGACCAGCGGCGCCTACAGAAACCGCTGGCTTCCGCAAACGCAGGGGAAGGACCACAGGGGTGGGTAAGACTGCCCTGTTTAGGGCAACTTCACACAACGCCGGGGTCCTTCTCTGCACATGTGAAAGCTGACGGATCCAGCAACAGGTAAGGGCGCCGACGCCGGGGTCCTTCTCTGCACATGTGAAAGCTGACGGATCCAGCAACAGGTAAGGGCGCCGACTCAGGCTAAACAGATTTCCATTTGTGCCTACAGGCGCCCGAAATGGAAATCTGGCCCTGGGTGAATGGACAGCTGGCTGAGACTAAAGGTTTGTTCATTGCTCATGCAACACTTAGGTATGTATTTATTAATAAAACTTGCACAGCTATTCATCCGGTGAAACTGCATGTACATTCGTTCTGTGTGAATTAACCAGTTGTTGCAAGAAAGTGTCAAAATCTTCTGTTCTTCACATATTATGAATAGTTGAAAATTTAGAAAATACCACATTGTGGCCACTAGGTGGCGCTGATGATCATAGGACATAAATGCATCCTAGTAACAAGAGATACAATGTAACAATTCTAGAGAACACTGAGGGGAATCAGAAGATAAATATAACTATTGATAATAAAGAGATTCCCATAGAAGCAACAGATAAAAATTAAAAAAAACTTACCACAATTTGTGCTGGTGTTCCGGGGGTGTAATATTTCCTTGTTTTGGAGAAATCGAGGTTATAGGGGGAAGTCACAAACTTTACAGAGGTGAGCTCCTTTTCTTCCAGAGTTCCGGCTACAAACACAGAAATATGAACTCAAATATGACAGCAGGATGATGGATCTCAGACCAGCTCTCAGGAGCCACTAACAGGTCATGTTGTCCAATTGTATTCTCACAACGATAAGTCTAATAAATAGAGTTCTTCAGTTATAAGGAAACTATAACAGTATGGGGGCATTTTTTTATTTTATTTAAAATTCAACTCTAGGCAGATATACAAGACAGGACATAACTCTGTATTCAATATTACATCATGAAAGTAGTGCCAGTACTTGAATCTGAGCCTCTTGTAGTCCCCCAAAAGCTAAGCTCAGACTGAGAGAGGGAGAGGCATCAAAAGGAAACAATTGGTTGTGCAGCAGGGCTCATGTCCTAACAAGGAACATGCTGATATGAGGTAGGAGCAGAGAGATGAGTTCGGCAGTCTGCTGCTTTTCCTTTCTTGTCCAGTCCAAGGCAGAGGGACTGGACTGTTAATGCTACTGAACTGCTGAAAAATAATCAGGTCTCCTGTGTTGGCAGACAGAGCTGTGATTGGTGCCAGTTCCTTGTAAATGGATGGACAGAAGAACAAATCCTCTGCAGGTAAAGCAGACATGACATACATATTTCATCTTTTTATTTATTTGTTTGTCTGGAGTTCAGGTGACTAATTTATCTGCGCATGTAAATATCAGCTTGAGCTACTTAACTCTGTAAACATGCTTTTTTGAGCAGTGGAATAAAGGAAAGCCTACACCAATATCCACAGAACAGCAGCAGGTATGGATTTAAAATAAAGTCTGCTAAAATCCTTACATTACATTAGGAGTCCTTAGCAACATGTACACACACACACACATACGGTAGGTTGGAATGGATGGACCTATGTCTTTTTTCAGCCTTACCAACTATGTTACTATGAATGCGCATGTTTTTAGGCCTGTTCAGTTGCCGAGACGTTGTTTTTGGCGGTCTCATAATTTCCCAGCATCCAAAACCCATCTCATATCTACTGCTACTTTTTGCAGGTTAAGCCAGCACATTTAGGAATAGTCAATAAAACAAAAGAGATTTCAGACTGTGGTTGAGAAGTTCTCCACAGTTCATGTTTTCAGGCTTTTCTCAGATGTCCATCACTGAGGAGCACTTTGGGATCAGAGTAGAGGAACTGGAGGAAAACATCAAATGGGACTTACAAGCCTTCTCCAGTACAGTAGCCACAATGTAGAATGTGGACCCCACCAAGTTCTCCACGGGCTGAGCAATCTTCTTCAGGATGTCATCTCTGTTTATTTGGACCGAACCTTCTGCATCCTTTATCTAGCAGAAACAGACAATGCTGAGGAGTCAGGACAGCCAACAAAACATTACCTACGCACAATCCTATGAAGCCTTATCAACCATGACTACAAAAGTGTAGGACATCTAAGACCAATGTCCATATTTTAGGACCTTGGTTCTCAACTGATGTGTCATGACCGTAAGGCAATGCTAAAGACTGATGAAGGGACCCTGTGCGGTCCCGAAAGAGCTTGTTTGGTCATATGACAAAAAACTTCAATAAATGAAGCTTTTGCTATCTTAAAAGGATTGGTGTGCTGGTGACATTTCTACAATTGATGACCCAAAAGTGGGTCGCAACCCCCTGTTCAGTGAATCTCTGCATGCCTTCCACTTTTTTAGGTGAGAGGTTCCTCAGCCTCCCCCTAGAGCAGCACTGTCAGTTCTCGCACCAAGCAGCCATTTAAAATATGCTGCCTGATGCCGAGTGTCAGCTTGAGGTGGGGTGGGCTGAGGCCGCGAGGGAGCTCCATCCATACGTGCATTGCTTACAGCTTCCTCCCGTGTCCTGTAGAGGTGCCTGGACCGGAGTGACATCACATTCTGGCTCCCGTTACCTCTTCAGGGCACGCAAGGAAGTTGTACAGGCAATGCACTTATGGATGGAACTTCATCACATCACAGCAGCCCACACTGGACCCCAAGCTAAGGATCCACTCCAGTTCTCCTAAGGTATGGAGACTGGGAGGACCTTAAAAACAACTTTTAAAAATTAAACATTTTTTGGAGTGTGTATGTGTGTGTGTGAGAATGTGTCTGTGGTTGAGTATGTATGTCAGTGTTTTTGAGGGCCCATTGACACTAGTACATCAGGCAAACACAGTGCTGTGTGATTAACGCACTGTACCACGCAATCACACCTACTGTGCATTCTGGTGTGGGAGGTGTGTTGGGTTGCCATTCATTTGAATGGTACCCCAAACGCACCTCCCACCGTCAGTTCGTACACCCGATCCGAAACGCGCTGTATCCTAATGCCGTGCGCTCCATTGCAGTGCAACTTGGGTCACAACTTAATGGCCAAGGACAAAGGTGGGTCCTGAGGTTACACAGGTTGAGAACTACTGCTTTAGCAGATACATTGTAGATCTGGAGTGTTTTTAACGTAACACTGAAGCAATCATTGTTATTGCGTAGATGTAGATGGGTGTGTTTAGCCTGAAGAAGAGATGTTACATATTATTTTGCCAAATTTGTGCAACAATATCATAGTTATAGAGATAAAAGCAGCTGAAAGAGCCAACCTCCAGACAGGGCTTGAGTTCTGCATAGCCAGTTTAGGCCATAGCATGATAGCCAAGGGTGGCACACAGCTACCCTCACATCACGTTGTCATCTTCCCTGCCAGTGCAATCCAACTGTGTTGGTTTAACTGCACACTATACGTTTGTTGGTGTCCGTAAGGGCTGACTGGCATCTCATGCTTATGGGGACCTTAAACAGCCCAGTGTCTGAACACTCAGGGCAACGTGACAGCATTTGCAGATACCCATCCCCCTCCAGCAATGCATACTTTCCCAGTCACACTCATTTGATGCCTCCCCGCACTACCGGAGCTCTGGAGTACGGGGAGCATGTGACGTTCTGTATTTGGCAGTGCTGGAACCTGAGTGGTCAATCACAAGAGCTGGACATTGTTATGTGGGGTACCATGACTTAGTCTTAGCACTGACACCGGAGTTTAGACTGGCAGGGCTGCTGTAGTGCGTAGCGCAGTGAGGGACCATTGCTGGGTATGTATACATGCATAGGGGTGTGTGCTATGTCTAGACACTGTCATGAAAGGTCTATAAAAGTAACCTGTACTAAGAGAAGTAAGAAAGCTGATATTTCTGACTTCCTGAAAACTTCAGGTTCCTGGCTGTCATGCTGATCCACTGGTTTTAATGATATGAGTAACTGACCTGGAACAAGCATGCAATAAGTGAAGTTAAAATTTGTTGATCATCATGCTTTTTCCAGCTTAATATTTCTGCAAGTACAAGTTTCCTTTAAAAGTGCTTATATACGTGGAATCATATTATAAATGGTGTTGTGTTCAGGAAGGTTTACAGCATTCTATCTTTTTTAAATCTAATGAGATAATAAGTCACATCTGTTTACACTGGGGGTGGGGAGGGGAATCTTCTAGCCCTCAAAGAAAAGATGTCCTCCCTACCTACCTCTTCGCTTCTTGTGAACTGAAGCTCATCGGGGGAGGGAAATGATCAGGCAATCTTGAATACCAATGTCAGTACTGTTGATGCACAGAGCTTGACATGCTGTCAAGTCATCCACTGCAAATTACATGGAGAGACATGGTGGGGTCTTGGCCCCAGATCTTCCCACTTTGCCATTGCAGCACTTCAGGCAGAAGCCTCTACTGCCTCTGTGATCTTGACCCCGGCTATACAATACTTGAAGCTTTTTGGCAAATATTACGATTTTAGGGAAGTTATATCTATAAATGTTTGGGGATTGCGAGGGAATGGAATGGGAGTCTTCTTCACCTGCACTTGTTGTTCCAGGCCTTGCAGCATCGTTTTCTTCCCAGCCTGGTCTATTATTCCGACACGTACGTGAACCACGCCATCCACAGGTTCTCCATACACATACCTGAACCAATCACAAAAGAACAAACGATGTTAAAGCTAAACTCCAGGCACAAAAACTATCATTGAAATAAATTCCTCAAAAGCCAAAAATATATAAACCACAAATCCCATCATGCATCTGTCTCTGGGAGTCATGTATGTAGCTGCCACTCTTGCATTGCCTCATGGGACCGAGGTTTGCTTTAGAATTTTTTTGTGTAGCCTCTTTAAGATGACAAGAGGGAATATATCATGTCAATTCAGGAACAGCAGGAAGGCAACACGTGCCATGGCTTTGGAATGTAGATGTGTTTAGGGAATGTGTACTTATTCCAAAAGCATTTAATAGACACAGATACCTGGACAACACGGGAACAAGTACAACCATCGTGTGAACTGTTGACCATAACTTGGAGAATATGTACAATCATAATGTAACAACTTTAAGTCATATTACTCCCAGTATAAGTTTCCTTCAGCACACCCAAGGACACAATGGACACATAGATTACCTGGCTTCCACTTTGATGCTGAACTGCTCTTTATTTATCTGGAAACACGGGAGCTCTGGTATGATCTTCACCTCAAAATTTGGAAGAACTGCCAAAGAGAAATGTATCACAGACAGAAATAAATAAAAAGGAGAGAAGACTTCAAGAGACACCATGGCCTTACCCATGCACGGCAAAGTTATGGCGTCTTTGCAAAGGACCTCACTGACCTCATTACCAACCCTACTGCTTCCTCCATTGCAATGCTACTTGTACTTTTAGGTATGGGGGATCATGCGACTTGCTCTCCTGTGACACTGCTCAGGACTAGCAGCCAATCACTAGGCCCGAGCACAGCCGCATGACCAAAAGAGTGACATCGCTGCTTTCCTAGTTCGACAACACCACTGATTTCAGGACTGGCTGCCCTGGAGGACCGAGCAACGAGGAACATAGGTGAGTATAGGGGGTCTGGGGGCCCTTTGCAGAGACACTGGCCAAGGTGACAGTTTCTCTTTATTAGAACTTAGGTGAAACACATGTGAATATAATTGGTTTATTGTAAATAACCTTATTATTGTGTGGGCCTGTTTTAATAAGTGTGTTACTGTGTAGAGTCTGTATACATATAGGTAAACATGCCTTCATGATCCTCTTATGGCACTTCAAGTCTACCAGCGAGGGTCTGTCTGAAAACAATCTCCCACAATGCTCCTGCTAGCTAAAAGCCATGTGATCATTGCCTAGGTCACATGAGAGAGATCAGAATCGTTACATTTTTGGCAAGAAAGAGGTACTTTATCTCTCATAACATTAGCTGGATAGGGTTATGCCAACATGGGCCCTATTCATACAGGAGAAGTACAAAAAAACAGGCCTAACTCTTGAAATTCAAGGTGCTACTCCCTCCGTATAATGAGGATTCAGAGAGTATGACAATTAATTAATTTATTACAATAAAACAATCTAACATGTTATAAGGATCTCTGACATGTAAATACAATGTCAGGACAACAATAAATCTTTGATACAGACTTTTATTATGGCTCTGGACTGACTATCTGTTTCTGTTGTAGCCCTGATGAAGATGAGATGTAGATACTTGAAACGCATTGTCGCATTTTCATATTAAACAGCATTTATACATTATACTAGTTGAATCCTCGTTAGAAGAAGGGAGTAGCCCCACTTATTTTGAGAGGTACGTTTGTTTTTTCACATTTGCACTAAAGGCTTAATGCCTTGACGTTTAAAACTGGGCTAACTTTCCCCCATTTCATGGCTTTATTATGTGCATGTGTACTATTTGAATCCATGGGCCCTATTGATACATGGGCGGGGGGAAGTTAAGCTGGCCATACTCTGCCCAAAATTCAAGCCATGGGTGGCCCTGTCGGCACCCCTTCCCACGACAACAGTCAAACCAATGGCAGACTGTGGCTGTATGCTGATAAATACTAATCTGAGTGTATAGTAGTGTACAAGTACAGAAATATGCCCCTGGACGCAGACTTTCTGTCTTTGGGGCGTACATCGGTACTTTTGTGAATAAGCAGCATTTACTAGCGTACAGCCTGTAATTGGTTTGACTTTTGTTGAGCAGGAAGGGATACCGAGAGGGCTACCCACTGCTCACATTTTGAGCAGTGTATGGCAAGTGTAACCCTCCCCCTCTACTTGAATCAGTTGGGCCCATAGATTAAAAGAATAAACACACCCCATACATGCTAATAAACTTGACTTTTGTTGAGTAGTAAGGAGTGCCAACAGGGCCACTAGCAGCTTACGTTTTGTGCTTAACCCCTTCTCTTGTATGTTTTTCCAGAAAGCAACATGCTCTGTGAATAGACGAGGGGTGGATTAATGACAGAGTCACCCTCACCCATTCACAGAATGCGTTGCAATCTGGAAAAATAATACAAGGAGTTTGTAAATCGGCAAGGAGACAAAGCGGAGGACGAATGGCGTGATCCTTCAAAGTAGCCCCCGCAGCCTCTCCTGTATGAGCGCTGAAAGATCAGCACTGTGTGGAGTATCCAGTTCACAGAAGGGAGGGTTATTACACCAACCAGAAGCCCACAGAATGTGGGATACTCATCATTCGAGGTACAACATTACACTGGTGCTGTACACCCCAAAAAAACGTTTTACTAAACTTCAGCTTTAAAAGTTGGAAGAAGCCGCATCCTCTATCTCTTCGGTTCCGGAAGAAGTTGGTAAACTCTAACCTGCCACTTATCAAAATGGAGGATGTGCAGACAAGTTCATTAATGTACGGGTGATGTGGCTTGACAACCCCTCTACGGCTACAAACTCTAACCCTTAATTATCCCTTCATTGAATGCATGATACCAAAATGTGGTGCACTGTATACCCATCTCTAGGACCCTGAACCCCTGCGGAAATGGCCTCTAGCAAGGGGCAACCCCACTCTGTTCTAAACCCTTGCCTTGGGAGCCTTGGTCTACCAAAGTCAGTGGCCAGATGTAGTCCTTGTTGCACAGACTGATTTTATACTGTACCTCAGGAGTCTTCTGTTTGCTATTCTTTATTTCATTGTGTAAGCTGAGTGGACTGTGAGGACTAGGTCCAATGGTTTTTAAAAAAAAATGTTATTGTTGGAAAATGTGATAACTCAGGTTTATTTAAAAAAAAAAAAAAAACCGTAAGCTTTAAATATATGCTTCAGTGTGTCTTACTGAACTCACCATACTTTTTCACTTCAAATTCTGTGGTAAAGTTTGATTCTGGAGCCGAGGTATAATACGCCGATATCCTCCACACTCCAGTACTGGAAGAAAAAACCATAAAGTCAGATGACCGTCGCGTGTTCAACCGCACCATACACTAGAGGGCGCTGCAGCTTTAAATTCTAGGCTGAATTTCCGACTGGAAGATCTGGGACATTTTAGGACCTGTTATCAGTAAAGAGTAATGTGCACAATATCGCAACCAAAAGCTTTCAGTTAGGTGATTGGTCAATCTGCGTTTCTACATTTTGCATACATCTCTAACACATGATTGCCCCCCAGCCCTGCACTTCCCTGTCCTAGTCTGCGCACTATTTAAAATTGTATTTGCTAGGGTCCCTCAGGAAAGTTACACTGCAGGGCCTTGAACCCTCAGTGGTGGGCTTCGTGCTTAATGCAGAGAATGCATTAAGGTAATAAAATGCCCAGACCTTAATACTATTTTAACTCAAATTAGGTTTCCCGGATTCGATCGTGCTTCCAGCTTCAGATACAATTGGCAAAGACTAACATTTTACATATACTGAAAAACGCGATCTTGCTTGCTCAGACATTAACTATGTATAACCCAGAAACAGGCCAATTAAATTATTTACCCTTTCAGTGTTGCAAAAAGTTTAAATCATGTCAAATTCAGGTACTTAAACTTGTTGCATCTAATAAAAATACATGTACATAGTTACATAGTATTTGGGGTTGAATAAAGACATATGTCCATCAAGTCCAACCCATGTAATAATGAATTCAGATCTCTATTATATTGTGTCTTTATATCTGCCTGAAGTTCAGCTTTAAAGTGCTCCTATAAGATGCACAAATTTATTTGTTGCAAACAAAGCAGTTAAAGAAGGTGGGCGTTATTTCTTATTTCACCATTATGGTATTTTGTGGGCAAGGTGTTTACTCCCCCTTTCTGTTCCAGTTAAGCCATGCCCACCCATACTAACTAGGCCCCAGCATAGAGCACTGGACTGGGAGGTCAAGAAGTGCCTTTTTCACTAAGAGATAGGCGTATTTTAAGCCATTTACAGGCAAAAATGTGTTAAAATCACAAAGAAGGGTGTGTTCTGTAAAGACAAAGAAAAGGTGTGAGATTTTAATTTGGCTTTAAATTGGACCTAGTATCAGATACATTTGGCATGTTAAGTGGACACATGCCAAATAACACGGAAGTGTAAAGTGTAAAGGTATTTGCTCCTCCTCCCAGAGAATCACAGTACTCCCCCTGACAATGCCTTCATCTGCTTTTCTCTCCATAAGGACACATCATCTTTGTTGAGGCATCACCCAGGGTCACTATCTACTTCCTGTGCTGAGATGAAGGCTCAGAGATGACACAATCATGTAAATCCTGGTGCCTGTGCAGTCCTTGGCTGTGTTCACAAATATCTGACACAGAAGGTTTAACTCCTCGGCCTCAAACACAAAATTGAAGTATCTGTTTGGGTTGGGATGAGTTAATGCCAGAATCCTGGAACTTCAAATGCTACCCAAGGTCATTTAACATTGCAGAAATGCACAGAGATAATAAACAACTTACATTGAAATATCTGGAATTTCAAACTTGTCAGTGACAACTGAGTTTGGGGAAAGCTTCTGAATCGTCCTTACTTGCAAACCTGCTGCATTCTGCGAAAAGCAAATCCAGATATGATTTCACAAGGTAGAGGTCCGTCTAATGCCCGCCAAACCTTGCTAAATGGTAATTTAAAACTCAACTCCGGGCACAAAAACTTCAATTTTTCATTAAAGAATAAGCGCACTTTAAAACCTAGACCACGCTCAGCCTTCCTAGATGACAGCAGTAGAGAAGTCAGTATAACAATAACATACAGTATATACAGTATACTATATATATTTTTTTATATATAGATATATACACACACACACACACACACACTAACATCTGTAATTTAAAAGGGACTTTAACATTTGCCATTCAAGGGATTCATGAGTCTTTTGTTGGTCCACCTCCAACCACTTATACTCACCTTGTCTGTCCTCCTCCACTGCCCCATTCCTCAAACATAGCTGTGAGTCCAACCCTGTGTTAGCTCCATGCCTAATGGTGTAAGAGCTTACAAAGGTTGTTGATGTCACCAACTCCCTCACATGACATTGTTCAGGCCTACTGATTGACCTTTGAGACCTGGGTACTTGACCCCCAGGAGAAGGTTACATGCTCCTCATTATTGTCAAAAGCAATGAGTATTTCTTAAGAGCTTTGTTAGAACAATGGAGCTCCGGGATGGATGCACCTCCAGGATGGAGCTCAAGTACAGCTCAATGATTGACACACCTCTAGTGGTCTCAAAATAAGTTAACTTTAAGAAAACCCAGGCAGCAGAGATACCCAAAATGTCAGAGCACAGACCCTATCTTTATACATTGTAGCTAAAAGATTACTTACAATCACTGTGCTTTTAATGGATTCATCTGTAGGTCTCATCATGTGGTCCAGAGTGAACATTCTGACTCTAACTGCAGAGTATTTAAAGAAACAGGTGTGAGTGGTCAAAGAAGACAACCATCCGGTAATATCTTAAAGGAAACCTGTGCTTTTTCCATGCAGGGCTACAACATATCTGGAAGTGCCAGCCACTGGACAGATTAGCAGGGAAGTGAGGTATTGGTGAGCATATGCTGCTGAGCAGGGTGGCATTCAAGCAAACTTGTAACTTTTCCCTGCATGGGCTTAGCACAGGTTTGCTTCAAACTACTAGCAAAATGTATTAAAACATGTATATATGCAATGTTCCTAGTCATGGCTGATGTGGCTATACATATGATATCATATAATTGGAAAGGAATACATAAGTGTTAATATGTTAGTTAATGGATGAATGGAAAAAAATGCCCCAAAACTATCCATTGACCAAATTTGCTACAAAGAAATGACAAGCTGTCCTCATATCTAGAAGTGTTACAATGTCTCATAGACAGACAGATCCTGATCCTGGACAGACTGAGCATTCATAGGCTGGAAGTCTAATCGAGGCAGCATAGAGTGACCTACAAACCATGGAGGGCAGACTGCACTGCTAGTGTGATCAGGAGACATTGGAGGATCAGCCCCATTTGCTGCTCCAAATACCGAGCTTCACTACCAGAGGCGAGGAGAGGAAACTCCACATTCTAATGGAAGAAGAGGAACCAATGGGGAAAAAAAGCTGCACAATATGTTGCAACATGTCTGATAGGAACTTATGATACATCATAGGTGCAAAGGGCAAATATTAAAGGATAAGTTTATAAAAGTAAAGTTATTCTTTAACAATGAAATCCAGACATAATAGTTTTGAGGTTCTGGGTAGAGTGGGGAAGGGTTAGAAACACAATCAGGTTTTCACTTAGGTCCATGACTCCATTGAAGAGATCTCCCCTCTCATACTGCCATTGTGACAGCAGGACCAGAAATAAGGGGATCATCAGGACAGGAAGGCACAGATAGCAAGGAAAACCTGACTTAGGTTCTGTCCTTTCCACACTGTATTCGACCAGACTTGTTCTGTAATGTTAAAGACATTTGCAGCTTATCCAGGCCGTTCTGAACCTAAAGAGAATGTCAAGGCAAGATTTTAAAAAAACAAACATATTTTGTACATCTCTAGAGTACATGCACACTTGCCATGCCATGTTTTATGCCTCTAAATGAACTGCAAATAAAGAACTTTCCTCTTTGATACATCTCCGCAGCCCAATTTACATGGTGTCAGCCCTGCCTAGTTAATTTCTGATGGATTACAAAGAACACAGACCTCTCTTCATCCCCTCACACATCTCCATACCCCTTCTGTCTCACCCCACCCCACCCCCACATCTCCATAAGCCCTTCTCCTCATCTCCATGATTCCTCCTTGAACACAGGCAGAGAACACAGGAAGTTGTCAGCTCACAAGACTGATGCAAATATCAACATGTGTGTTCTGAGGGTATCAAACAAATATAACATAAAGCCTTTAATTATATATTTAATAGACCAAAAGGGAGCAAATACAGATATTTATCATTAGGGATTAAATAGACTTTAGGAACATGCTTAGATAAGATGTTGGAACTGAAGCTTGCATAGGATGAACGTTGCATAACAAGTCCAAATTAATATGACTAATTATTACTAGCTGTCCCATGACCTGGAGAAATGAGAACCTTCACTGACATATTTCCATACTATTTTAGAAATTGTGTTTTTGTTGCTGGATCTAAATCCATTATAAGATTTTTCATCATTTCCTCTTACCCAAAAAAGGAAAGATTGGGGTGTAGTTATGCTATAATATGCTGAATTTAAAGAGCATTACACAAGGATAAGGACCTTTATGTGTCAATCATGTGACTGTAATTTTCAAATCTTATTGGACTTGGCTAAAATTAACTGTCACTTACTTGGGTCCTTATCCTGGTGCTTTCAGTTTACAGAGAGATAATCCAAATGCACATGCAGAACCGCTGGTGTATTCTGCAAATCTAGCATAATATTATAGAGCCATTTATTCCAAGTTGGGATATGTGAATGGATGAGACATGAGGATATCTTCTGTTCTAAGAAGACTACTTTAATGAAAGACAGACTTTACTTTACTTTAATGAAAGAACGATTTTTTATTTTAATGAAAGTCAGACATCAATACAAGAGACACCTAGGAACATAGACAAATACAACAGAGGGGGTCTATTAACAAAAGGGTGAAGAGTTTGGAGAAGACAGGAGAAGTGAACAATCTAGGACAACATAGCTGAACTGGAAAGTGAGCCGAATTGGAGAATTTTTCCAAATCGGCTATTTTGTCCTAGATTGTTCCCTTCTCCTGTCTTCTCCAAACACTTTGAGTGAATAGACCTGAGAGATACATAGATAGATACCTGATTCTTTGGGAGTGTATACGCTCTTGTCAGTCTGGATGAAGATGTAGCCTTTCTTGTAGGAGATAGGTATGGACACAACTTGCATTTTTCCTAGGGCGGCACTAGTTATAACCAGCTGGACATACCTGCTGCTCTTTTGATTTTCCACTTTACATGAGGAGGCCCTCGTGGGGGTGAGCTGAGGGGATAAAATGGAGGATAAGTTTGCCACAAAGATGTACACAGCACCAACAATTCTAAAGTTGTTTGGAAATCGTTTAAAGCTGAAGGAAAGATTAGAATGTACAGCTGGTTGGGCTGCCATTAAAGTAAGCTTGATACTTTGCCCTGCAGGTACGTTTTAAAGGCCAAACCCATTACCCATTTGGGCTTGTCACTCCAATCCTCAACACCGCTCAGTTAAAATCCTGGTATTTTAGGGTATGAGGTGGGCATCTGGCTCACCCCCTGCCTCCACAGTTCGAGGTCTGAACAGCAAATTGCCAGGTCCCAATGCTGTCACATGAGGGTCACATTTCTCAACAATTATTGCTATTATTAAAAATACTGGGACTATTGGCTGGATGCAGTTTTGTGTCATTGAATTGGATAACCAAGCAGTCATATGAATGATAAGTTCACATATTAGGGGGTGGCTATCATAGGGTGGGGGGTTCCTAAGAACTCATCTCCTCTTCCTCCGACAATACTGGGTACTATTGGTTACTGCTAATGTCAATTTGGCGTCATTGCACTGGATATCCAAATAGCTCTATGAAAGATAAGTTTAGATGCCAGGGGGTGACTATCATCGGGTAGGGGGCTCCTAAGGATTCATCCCTTTTTCTTTTTTTGCAGGGTACTGTTAGTTAGTGCTAGTGTCAATTTGGTGTCATTGAATTGGAGCAAATAGCTCTGCGAAAGGTAAGTTTATATACCAGAGAGTGATTATCAAAGGGTGGGCGACTCCTAAAAATTCAAGTCCCCTTCCTTTGTCAATACAGGGTACTATTGTGTAATACTGGTGGCAATGTGGTGTCATTGGACCAGAAATCCAAGCAGCTATATAAAAGATAAGTTTAGATACCAGAGGGTGGCTATCTTAAGGTGGGGGGTTCCTGAGAATTCACCCCCTCTTCCTGCAACAATACTGGGTAGTATTGGTTAAAGCTAACATCAATTTGGTGGCATTGGATCAGATAGCCAAGCAGGATGACTATCTGAGAGTGTGTGGGGGGGTTCCTGAGAATTTGTTGGCATATCACCTATATATAGCACAAATGTGGACAATCATTTGACACCGTGCCTGCAAGTGCTGGAAATATTGGCTGAGTGTAATGACGTATGGAACACCTCACCTCTATAGTCTGTTTACTTATGTGGTTGTTCCTCGTGTTCAGATTTAAATGGTAATGTTCTGAGCACTCGTCAAAGGTAATCTGATTGCGCAGGTACATCTCTACCGCAACATTATTTGGCACTTCGGCGCCCTGAGGCCACTCCATCTGCACCCACACATCTTCTTTACCACCCACATGCAGAAGGCGGGGTGCAGTGACCAGGAACCTGAGAACAGGAGAATAGCTGTTATTATACACCATTCTAGTCCTCTTAGCCCCATCTGTCATGTTATAATAAACCAGTAACCATCCATGTCACACTTTGTATGAGTCACATCCTCACCGGCTTTGGCAGCAACCACTTCTGGCAGGAATGGCATTTTAAGGAGGTATACCGACCTTTAGACAGAAAATGGAAATCCTCTGCGTCCCACCTTCCTCCCAATGTTAACCTTAGAATAGTGGTGCTCAACTTACTTGATAAAGGAGGCCTCAACATTTCCAAAGGGCCACACTGAAAATTCAGTGAATATATTGCTGCAGTAAGCTGTCAGAGACTGCAGACATACAACAGTAGATGGTTAGGGACTGGGGACATGCTACAGTTTCCAGAGACTGGGGACATTCTTCAGGAGACAGTCATATTAGCCTGGATACAAGTTACATCAGACTTCTAGGGACCACATCTAATACAGCCCCTTTACCAAGCCCTTTAACTACTAGAAGCTAGTCAAAATACTATTCACTGGCTCGAGTGCCAATGGTCACTTGCAGCCTTGATGTCAGAGTGATGGCAGTCTCATAGCTGATTGGCTATGCTGATCGAATAACTGGCGAAGGATCCAGCTTGCCCATTCCTGCCAGTCAACAGCAGTGGGGACCAGTGCAGAGACATTACAACTTCTCTTCAAAAGGGAAACCATTTTAAAATCCCCAAAAATAGACATTTGTACAGAGCGGCGGGTCTGATACTTACCTTGGGGTTTGCGCCACGGTCACACAAACCATGGCTGCCCATAGCAGGCAGCTCAGGAGAGGAGAAGGTCCCATGGTGCAGTGATAGACTGAGCTGGGAAGAGAACAGACATTTATTTAAACAGAGGGGGCTGGACAGAGATAAAAAAGAACAGACAGAGGTCAGGAGGTAAACACTGAGGACTGGCTAGAAACCGAAAGTGCTCAAATTTAGGAAAGATGTCAATATGCTTTGTAGGCCGATTAACTTTATTTCTGCTCTTTGCACTGCAGCACGTCTGCTTCCCCCTCACCCCAGTCTCAGCTGTTTTGTACCTTAATTACATGAGGCTGATACCAAGTTACATTCAAGTACCTACACTGTTTGCAGTTATTAATATATATTTTAGGAGGTATTACAGGGTTACATACATTTGTGTCTTTAATATCTGCCTGGAGATCAGATTTAAAATATGTATCTAAACCCCCCCCCACCCCCCAAAAAAATGAATATATTGCATCTTACCAACCAATGGATTTGGTGGCTGCATTGGTGTTCTTTTTTAGGCTTATTTCCCCCTTTATTGTTACCTAGCAATTCTGTGAATAACCTGCATCCTGTCCTGGGTGGCTATGCACACTCACTCTGCTGTATATATGGAGGAAGCTATTGTTGGCACTAGGGATGCACAGATACCGATAATAGTATCAGTATCGGTGCTGATACCGAGTATTTGGGCCAGTACTCATATTCGCTCAAAAGCTCCGATGCCGAGCCTGATACTTGAGCTTCCGGTATCAGGAAGCCGGGCAGCAAGTCATTACACGCTGCCTGGCTTCCTGAATGGGTTCCATGCTCCATCGTCATTGAAGCATGGAGCCGGCTTCCCGGCCAATCAGGAAGCCGGGTGCTGTGTAATGATGCGTTGCCTGGCTTCCTGATTGGCCAGCTTCTCGACCAATCAGGAAGCCTCATTACACGCCGCCCAGCTTGCTGATTGGCCAGAAAGCCAGCTCCATGCTTTCTCGGCTTTCCAGGTAATCAGGAAGCCAGGTAGTGAGTCATTACACGCCACCTGTCTTCCTTAATGGGACTTCTGGTATCGGTATTCGGTATCGGTGAGTACTGAAAAAAAAATATTGGTACTCGATACCGAAAAAAATATCAGTGACCGAGTGGTAATGAAGAGGAAAACATCCTGTAAAAAGAAACCTAATGCAGCCACTTCATCTAAAGACTGATACTACTGTATATATCTTATTTTTGTTCTTGGATTTAGATATGCAGTAAAGAAAAGAAATCTGAGCTGGGTATTAATTAAAACAGTGTACCAAATAAAAGCCTTATGTATCCTTAAAAAGCACATATAATTTTTAGGTACTGTAGGTAAATTAGTCATAGAGTTATAGCCAAAGTAACTTGCTCATACTGATGCTGCTAAATTCGGTCTGGTCATCCGGGCTTACTTGCCCTCTGGTTACGAAAGGGTAATGGAGTAAAAATAAATAAATATTATTATTAAATTTGTCATAAGTTTCCTAAAAATTAAAAATGAAGGATCCCCTTGGGATACACATACCACTGGTTGAGAATAGGGCCTGAATACCAGTTTTCTACATGGTACCTGGACTACAATTTTTACAAATAGGTGAGTTGCTTAAAAGTGACAGAGAGATTGTGACGATGTTGGGGGATTTGAGTCTGAATATTGCAGAATAGAATTTGTTTGTTTCCCCAGTCAGAGCACCTGCAGGCCTTCATTTAGAACTGACAGGTCCCTCCACATTCCACAGAAGAGATGCTCTGGCTGTGATCTTTTCTTGCCCAGTCTGAGTGAAATTCAAACATATCCCTGCTAATCCTTTTATGGATGTCGTAATTAAAGGCATGGCACTAGGCCCTCCATATATTACGAGTGGACAATTTATATCAACAATCAGGTCTGGAGAGGGGGTGACCTTGCATTCTCTCTAAAAGTCATAAAACCTGAGATTAAAAATCAAGTTACATTTTATTAATTTGGAGTTGGGCGGGGATAGGTAAACTAAAGGTTCATCCTCCGACCTGCTTTCCTGCCCTAACCCTGCCTAGGGGCTGGCTTCGGGACACCCCCTAAGAGGGGCTTATAACATATTCTGTGTTGGCAACTAGAGTCTCTCTTGGTTTAAACATCATCGAGGAACCAGAAGTCTGAACATCGCAGAAGAGTTACCCTTTAATCTTTGGACATTATCTGCTGGAAGTCTGCTTGAAGAAGAGCCCTGCAGACTTCCACTTTGCTTCTTGGACTCTGAACTCTGTCAGAACTCACAATTCCAGGACTGTTAAGTATTCTTCTTTTATTCCCTTTTATTTTACTGTTGTATATATATTGTGTCTCTTTTTATTAAATCTTTCTCTGTATATTTTCTGCACCATTATTTGTTTAAGTGTTTTGAATAGTCGCAGCATTTGCTGTGTTCCGAAAAACACATGGTGGCAGTGGAAGTTTGGTGGGTAAAGGGTTAACTGCGGAGTTACCCAACCCTGGTGACTATAGCTCTCAGTCTGCTGCCCTGAGATTGTGTCCTGCGAGCTGGGGAATCTCTGTGCAGGGTGAGGCTGAGAGTGGTATCGCCACGTCCTTGTGACGCTCACGCTCGGTTCAGACTTGTGTATGGTCACGTGGGATTGACGTACAGCGGGTTTGGGCCGGGCATACGTCACAGAGATGAGCTCATCAGTGTACTGCTTCTCCTTACACTGTCCAATCACAGGCTGGGGGTGAGAATGATCAAGTCCCCTCCCCTGCCAGACAGGCTCATGCTGTATGGCAGATCTGTGTATTTCTACCAATTAAAAAAAACTCTCTTTCATGTATTTCATTAAATGTATGTAGCTGTTTGCCTGGGGTTCAGCTTTAACTCAACAGCGTTCTCCTTTGCCAGTTACCAAGTCCAAAACATGTTACTGTCCCCCTCACACCACCACCCCCCAGTGTGTACAAATGCAATATTTACTGTAGCTGGTCATGTGATTTTAGAGAAATTGAGTTAAAAACAAAGTTTGAACTGACAAACTCAGGAGAACAGGAAAAAATCCTATTCTGGTTCTATTCTGTGAGGGCTCTTTGCAAACACCCGGGTCTGAGTATATATTGATGTTGCATTTCACCCACTTCTAGCCATGCTCTCTTTCCTGGGGGTTAATTCCAGTGCTTTCTCCACCCTCTACCTTCTATTGGGTCTCAGGGATATTGGACAGCTCACGCCACACACCACTTAGCCCTTAGGACTCCATTGTAACCCCTGTGAGGAGATGTTTTGGGTAATCGTCTTGAGCAGCCTCATTATTCAAAGTGTGCCCATCCTCAGCTTTTGGTCTCATGCATGCTGTGCTTTCTGTGTCGACCCCAAGGGGTCGATTAATAAAAGCTTTAGAAAACTTTGGGGTTGTCTATAGTAACCAATCAGTTGTCATGTTTCATTACTTAGAAGGCCCTGATAGGTTAGTTTTGGGTATCTGTTCCATATTGGCACCAATTTTCTTTGCTCCATTTTCTTAGATTAATCCTTGTTTGTCTCTTCTGGTGCACCCCATGTGACAGATCAGAAGATCATTTCTCCAGCCAGACGTCAATGTGTGAGCCTTTAATCACATGGACCATGACTCCCTGCAAGCCGAGAGGCAGGGTCAGTCAGAAAGAAGATATCAAGTCTTCCACTTTATTTTTAAACAGAACTAAGCCAAAAAAACGGGGTGAGTTTTACTATTATTATGCTAAAGATAAATATTTACTGTCTGTTCTTTTCCACTAAAGTGTACCTGTCACCTAATCATGCTTGAAAAGATCCGCATTTGTTTGTCAGGTTAGTAGTAAATAGTTATGAAAGTGCCTCGGCAGTGTTATTAGATCCAATATAATTTTCAGTATGCACATTCTGACTTGTTCTTGCTGTGTTTATTCTAATGCTGAACTCTACACACATTCATGCAGCTCTGTATTCATTTTTACATCACTAAATGTTTTTAAAAAATACAAGCAGTGTAAGTACCAGAATTTGAAAGTGGGTTGAATGATGCTGGCCATCAGACCGAGGTCATAAAAAGCGGCAGAAAACTGTACTGCAGGGTAAATCTCTAAACTGATGCTGAATATTTAAGCAAACGCTTGTTTTGTTATTTAATGTACTTTTATCTTGTGGCTGGAGTTCTGCTTTAAATGTATTTTTTTTAAATGCAAGCAGTGTAGGTACCCGAACGTGACCTGGCATCAGCCTCTAGTGATCCCCTTTAGAGCAAAGCTTAGGAAGCAACACAAGAAGCCAATCAATTGGGCTGCAGTGCTCATTTGCTAAGAAATAGTAAACCAAACCCAGGGCCACCTGTTTCCTAGCAACCAATGAGGCTGTGCAACCTGCTAGGATGCAGGAGGGTGCACGATAACAACTAATGATGCTGTGGGGCCATAAGCATTTTAGCAACCAATGAAGCTGTTCACAGCCTCATTGGTTGCTTGGACATTGAAGGCCCCCATACCATCATATTTTGTTATGGTGTGCTCTCCTGTGTCCTAGCAAATAATGCAGACATCCCAACTCTCCCGGACGCTCCGGGAGTCTCCCGCTATTTGATAGCAGCTCCCGGCCGCCCGGGAGAGAAACACTTCCCTGCGATCGTTTTTTCCCCCCTTTTCTGACATCGGGAGCCGCGGCCCGACCGCCAGTCAGAAAAGAAAGAAAAAAGGCATACGTACCGTACTAATGGCTATTTCAATAGCCAATAGCAAACTAGCTAATGCACCTACCCACTGCTGCTGCCAATCAGCAGAGGGGGACCTGAATTTTTCTATCAGGTCCTCTTCTGGTGATTGAAAGCAGCAGAGGGCGGGTGCAATAGCTAGATTGCTATTGGCTATTGCAAAGTGAAATAGCCAATAGGAATGTAGCTATGCTTTAGTCAGAATACTAAAAAAAAATTAAAAAAAGCATGCAGATAGCAAAGAAGCTATTGCTTCCTGTGCTATCTGCCATCATTTCAGGGGGGTGCTCTCTCCCAGCCCCCCCTAACTCCCCCTCCGCGGATGGGGGTGGGGGGAGAGGGCACCTCCCTGAA